AAAAAAAAAAAAAAAAGTGGAAAAAGACCAAAAATAATAAATCAAAAAAGTGAAATAAAACAAAAAAAAATAAAACATCAAAAACGTGAAAAGAGACGAAAAAGAGTAAATAAATCAAAACCCGTCCCAAATGTTAATGGATTGGACGTAAGGCTTCTGTTTTAGTCTGCCGCTTTTTGTTTGGCCACAGCGAGCTACACTACCCCGTCAATGTAGTGATCACTCTAAAACCAACGACACACAGACCCGACATAAACCAAACCTGTCTGTATTCCCCAATTTCGAAATCTAATTCTTTCAGGATGACCACGGCCTGGGACTTACCGAAACCAACGACAACAGAACCGTTGATCATCGAGTTCTTGCCAAGGACGTACGAATCGGACAGCGGTTCTGGCAATAAGCGTTGGATAAAACTTATTCTACGTTCATCTCACTTAAAATGGCACGTCAAATTCACATTTTCCGGATATACTATTCGGGATGGCACACGCCTGCCTATCGTCAAGGGCATGAAGCGACGAAATGACCTCCGAGATCTCTGTCGCTGTATTGACTTTCGCCGCATACCGCTCTTGGATGATACAGTGACTGAGGTTATTGTGTCACTGAACGCCAGCCCGGAGAGTATCAAGCTGCCCTATACGACACAGCCAAGCGCAGACAGTGAATACGCCTCCGTGATCAGCAACCTTTGGGTTCGTGCCGAGGAGGACACGCTCCGAATCCGTTTCCCGATTTACAACAGCACCAACGACATCCCCACTCGACAGCTCTCGGAAATCCAAGAAAAAGAAGAGCTAGACGGGGACTCCGTCTACAGGGTTCGCCTCCAAGATAACGAGAGACCGTACGTCTACAAGCAGATCGAACGAGCCCATTATGTCCCCCATGACACCGACGTGATACAACAGGAGCTGCAGAACCTGCACAAGTTCCGTGGCACCGCAGTCGGGATTGTCCAGCTCGTCGCGGCCGTTGTCTCACCGAATCCTTACCAGACAGCCTATCCCGATAAAGAACAATAGGATCCCGCCGTCTTATACGGGTTTCTCCTGGAGTACCACTCCCGCGGCACACTTGAAACTGCGTTGAAATCGCCAACCCCGGAAGCCGGAGAGCGTTGGTGTCAAAGGGTGCTCCAGATTACCTCAGCCCTGGCTGAAATACATCGCGCTCGACTGGCTTATATGGATTTGAAGCCTTCCAATGTTGTCCTTAGCGGCGAGTTAGACGTAGTACTAATTAATATCAGCGGGATTAGGGGCGTTACTTGTCAGTGGCTTTATCCGGAGATATTAGAGAGCAAGAGAGACCCGCTGTCGTAGACTATAGCGGAACAGTAACAGAATGATATTTGGGCTCTGGGGCAAATTATACGGGCTATGGCAGATGCCTGTGATGACGAGGAGCAGAAGTATCTGCTGAGGGGTGTCGCGCGAGCTGCTACGCGTCCTTCACCCCGTATCCCACTCTATAAGGTTATTGCCGCCTTGTCGGAGGTTCCGCTCCCGGTGAGTGCTCGACCGAGTTGATATTCGTTGGGCCGGCGCGATATATGGACCTGGTATAGACACTACACTACCTCCTAAATAGTAAATCTCGTAATGTTTTGGCTGTAAATAATCAACGAACTATAAGCTACTGGTATTGAGCGTCTGCCTGACGTAAGGCTATGAGCCTGTAGGCGAGAGGGGTTGGGTTTTTGATAGACGCATTTATTACGGCCCTGCTATAAGATTATAGGACGGTATTTGTCTTTTCAACGGCTGTGGTGAAGTTATTATAAACAAGCAAGACTTGTAAGTCAATAAAGTTTATCAGAGAAATAATATCCGAATTTGCCCCAAGGAATGCCGCGTGGTGGGATCTTGTTATTAGCTTCGCAGCCCAAGGCTCCATCAGTGTATGAGATGATTCAGCGTAGACAGACATTTCTAAGAGTTCCGATTCCTGTTTTCTCAAGAGTCTCCGACAGAATCCCTCGATAGAATCACACGATCTGGACGTCGATTGTAGACTTGCACTGTGCGGTTACACTGTCGTTGATTGGACCCACATCTCCAAAACGGGTGGCCCCGCCAGCGTCGGTTTGTTTACTTTCGAGACGCGGACCACTCAGGTTGCTCTGCGCTCGATCTCTCCCACAATCGTTCATTCCCGACTCTACATTTTCAACACAACTCCAATACTTACTCAAAAGCTTCGCGCTCGCAAAGGGAAACGGCAATACGCACACCCATTCATTCGCTCACGAGATTCCCTCCAACCATGGCCACAATGCAACGCCTCAGCGGCGTCAAGCGCAAATCCGACCAGCTGGAAGTGTCCGACGACGACCAGAACGCGATCGAGGCTGGTCAGAAGACGACGACGAAGAACGATAGCACACACCCCGACGAAAGTCCCGCCAAGAGACAGCGGGTGGGAGTCACGCTGGCACAGAAACAGGCGTTGATCGACAACCTCCAACTTGAGCGTACGTTTCGACACAAACACAACAAAACACCTGAAAAAAAATGTGAAGCTAATTACTCTATACAGTCACTGAGCGCGCACGCAAGCTGCGAGCCAACTACAACATTCACGCGCAGAGCCTGCGCACGCGAATTGAGATCCGCGTCAACCGCATCCCGCTGGCATTGCGCAAGCTCACCATGGGCGAGCTGCTAGAGAAGTACTCGGACTCGAAAGAACCACAGCCACAGCAAAAGTCGACTGCCAACGCGGGCTCCGTACGGGGTCCTCCCGTTCCTGCGAAGGATGGCCCGTCCCGGCCGCCGACGCGCGGGGGAAATCCATCACAGCCTGTTAAGAGGCGAAGGTATGTTTTTATTGTTGTTTCTGAGTGCCTATGTTATGTATCGACGCGCTGACACTTCCCAGCCACGAGATGACCGGCGGAGACAAAGAGAACGAAGTCCGTACACCACAACAAAAGAAACAACGCGGCAACCAGGGCTCGTCCCGCAACCGACAACAAGTCCTCTCCCCAACCAATTCCAACACCCGCCTCACCCGCGGCGGCAACACCACCAGCAACCCACCCACCTCAACCCCTGGCCGACCAAACGTCACACCCAGTCGCGCAACCGCCGCCACCAACGCGCTCAACCGCATGGTCGAAGGCGCCGGTGGCAGCGTCCGCCGTCCGACCACCGCAACAGGGACCTATTCCACCACCGCCGCCGGCACCTTCCCCCGCAACAAAGCCGGCCTACCACCCTCCATCGCTGCGCCAGGCACACCGGGCGCAGCTACCGCCGCCGCGGCAGCAGCACGACGCAAACGCGCGGCTACATCCACCGCTGCGTCCACCGCCACTGCTACCACAACAGCAAGTCAACACCCTCCACGTCCCGCAACGCGCACAGCCCGCCGTGCTAGTGGCACAAGCGAGTCCAGCGAAGCGAGCACGTCAACGGTGATTCATCGCAAGCGGCCGATGACTGCGCCACCCGGAGCGCACCCTAAACCGCCTGCTGCGTCGCTTGTTCAGCAGACTGGGGCAGGAGGGAAGAAAGGGACAGGGACAGCGGGTGGGACTTTGAAGAGGGGAGGTGTAGCGGGTACGGGGAATGGGGGGACGCTGGGACGGAAGGCGGGGGCGGCTGTTAAGGGGGCTATGGCTGCTACTGGGGGGGCTGCTGGGGGGACTGGCACGGGGACGGGGAGGGTGCTGAGGAAAAGGGGGTGATTGTCTTTAGGGGGTGTTTGTGCTTTTAGAGTTGGCGTTATGGTTTGGTTAGCATTGGGTGAGCAGAGCAGGGAACGGTAGAGAGCGGCCAGGATAGATGTCAGGATTGCTGTTTATTGTACCATCAAATACGAGGGCTGACCATGTATATCTCAACGTCCAAATTGCTCATCCTCCCAGCTAGGTAATGCTGTGTATCGCCTTGTTTATCCCTCCATCCACCCACCATCTTAACCCACAGCTCTGACCCGAAGGTACAGGCCCTTATCCCTAACTCGACCCCTTCTTCTTCTTATCCTCGACCAACTCGATATTGTCCTCCGGAATATCCTTATACTTCTCCAACAAAAACTCCTCAATCTCCCCACTCACATCCCCCTGCACCACAATCTCCTCTCCACCACTCGGCACTTTGGTGACCGACGCGCCCGTAGCGAATTTCTTGCCGAAATCTTTCGCGACCTATCCACACATCACCATTAGCACCCCTCCCCCCTTTTCCCAGTGCCTAGCAGGGGAAGGAAGGAAGTAGAGAAAGAGAGAAAATACCTTCTTCAACTCCAACCCAAACGCCTCCAGCCCCGTAACAGACGTCACATATTTCCGCTTGTTGCGCTCGATGCGCTTGATGGTGATGACGCTCTTGGCCAGGCGGTCGGCCTGCTTCTGCTCGGCGGCCTCGGCCTTGGCGGCTTTTTTGGCGGCGTCTTTGGCGGCGCGCTCTTGTGCTTCTAGGGAGAGGGAGGCTGTTGCTGCTGAGAGGGCTTCTATTTTCATGGACTCAGGGGTAAATATGGGGTTTGGGGAGGGGGGAAGGGAAAAGGGGGGGGGGGACTAAGGGGGGATACGCACCAGGAGACCATATCCTGGAGTAGAGGCTGGGGTGTTTCTTTTCGAGCCATTCTTGGCATTTCTTTGTGGTGCCGCCGTATTCGCAGTACTATTGGGGTGTTAGATATGTTTGGGATGTTAGATATGATATGCTCGGGGTGTTCGAAGTCGAGTTTGACGGGACGGTTGTCGATCGACAGGGTGTTTGGGCTCCGGAATCGTACCTCGGGCGGTAGTGTGCAAACTGGATAAACAAATATTAGATGATGCCATTGATTAATACAAATATCCAAATGTGTTGGCAGCTCAGGAATCCAGCTTGTTGTCCTGTCTCCAGAGGGTGGTCACACGATAAGATTCCAAGGACATACCACCGCAGTAAACAACCTCCCTGCCGACAAACACCGGCTCGGCCATGCCTGAGTCTCCTCGACTCTCGACTCTGAAACGCTAGACTGTGTAGCAGTCCAATACAATGGACAGTAATGAATCTCGGCGCGTGTTGTGTCGTCGTGGCGGTGGCTACGTATATCGCGGCCTCGGTAAGGTATGTATGCCACCAGGTTAAGGTATCAATTCGTCGTAGCGTGTCGCGCCGAGATGCTATGCTCTGCTCTCTTGCTGCCCCTCCTTGAATTGACTGCGGGGTTCTCTCTGTGGACTGGAACTCGGTCCATGGCGGCTTGCTGCTGCTGGGGATGCTCTGAGAGATGGCAGCCAATCATGAGCTTGGACAAGGTGCTGGGTGGGTCCGCTCTGCCACAGCGTTTCGAAAGCTGCACCAGCGGCAAGCGGGCGCTTCCTCTCCTCGACACATTCTCACTCTTTCCGAGTCCTCAACCATCCGTCACGCGGTCATCGCGCCGGGTCCGTAGCGCGTCGCGACCAGAGTGTCATCAGTGGCGTCGCAATGCAGTGTTCTCCGAGTGTTTAATTTCCCGACTGTTGACGGCGGTTCATCTCGAGCTAGTGATGCATTGCAGGACGAATCCGTAAGTGTAAAAGCTCACTCAGCAGCGACCTGGGACAGCCCTTGTCGAGTCTCGACAATGGAGCCACGGAGGCTGAGGTCCGACAATTCTCGACATTCGCGATGATAACATCCCAATGATAACGTTCGCCAAGAAACCTCTGTTTCATTCACAAACTCCTGCTGGAGAGTAAGAATAGCTCAGGTTGATGCAGGCGATGAGCTGAGACCCTAGGTCATGGACAACTCACCACTTACAAAAACAGCACTGTTTCAAGTGTACAGTTTCCTACCGAGATCACAAGATCACCGCCGCCGGCAAGAGGCACGAGAGTGCATTCCGTTCCTGGTGGTTGCGGCCCAGCACCACGGCGTCGTGGACGATGTTGGGTGGCCGACACGGACCGGGAGATCCAGCTTTGGCCGAAAGCGGAAGTCGGCACAAACATGACGGTCCAAATAGGGACAAGGACTGCATCCCAGGAGCCCAGCTGCCCCGCTGGCCCAGATGATTGTAAGCGTACAGATGTGCGACTGCAGCGACGGATCGAGTCGATCGACGGGGACAAGACACGGACTGCGGCTCGACGCAGGGCAGGCCAACCGAGAGACGCACAGCGGGGTCTAATGTCAGGGACGAGCCACTCGAGACGAGGAACACGGATATCGATTTCGAAATCGACGGGTTTTGTGTGCATGTCTTTCGCCGGGACGAACCCAGGACGAACCCACTTGGTCTTTTTTTGGTGTGTGTCGTTGACTCGAGCTCATGGTGCGCATCATGTGCGGGTCTGCAACCAGCTGCAACCCTCTCTATTCGACGATCACCACCTCGACAGGGGGGTTCCAAGGGTCCAATGGACGGCGGCAAGCTGCCTTCTCTAAGCGCCCGCTCAACCTCCTTTGCATGCGCTGTCGGATCTCATTGGCCAGAGCTAGCACACCTTTCGCGCACTCCAAGTTGCACCACAACCCTGATCGGGAGCTCGATTGGCGCGCGCCTTGTGCTCGCATGTCGCTGGTCGAAATGGACGCCAAGGCCGTGATCTGGGGTCTGTGATTCGCCCGCGGCCGCTCTCGTCGCCGTCGTGGTGCCCATCTGGGCGTCCCTTTCAAGCCTTTCTGGGTGTTTCCCAAGGCCAGTTGCAGACAATGGTAGGCACTCCTCGGCAAGCACCCGGTCCCTTGCTGTCCCATCTGCGCTTCTCTGGCCCCCAGTCACGTCCGCCCCCGTCTGTCACGGCGTCACCATGTTGCCGTCGCATCGGCGCGGCGGCTTCCCAGGCGGAAATCGGGGTTCTGGCTGTCGTTACGCGCTGTGGTGGGTATCGCCTCTGAGACCCTGACGTCTTGTGTGTGTGTCTCTTGTGACTGTGCCTGTCCCCCCCTGCTCATCTCTTTTGATCCTCATACCGTACTAGTATACACCCTACCCGTCTCGCTTGGCTCTCGACGGCGTTTACTTTCTCTCCTCTTGTCTCTTTCTTTCCTCCATCTTCTTCTCTCCCACGCCTTCACGCGCACTTTTACGATTAAGTGCTTCGTTGACCGAAGCCGGTCCTATTGTTCCTCTTTTTAGTCACCCTAAATAATTCCTACGGTTTTCGGTTGTCGGTTTCTGCGCGGCGCAGGACGTCTTTTGGTTACTCGAGTTTTAACGAGTAGCCTATTTCTGTTCATTGGATAACGAAAACATTTGAGAAAAGGGGAAGCACACACAGTCACAATGTCTGATCAGGTACTACTACTACCACGGACGACGTTCCGCCCGCCCTCGCCGCAGGGCCGGAGGAGGCCGGGACGGAGACTTAATCCGATAATGGAGGAGGAGCCGGAGCAAATACGCAACTCGTTTGCGGCACCACCACAAACACAAACAACAACGGCCACATCAACAAGGAGGCGGAGTAACAGCAGGTTATCCCTCGAGCACCACGACAAGATCGAGCAGTGGCTGTCCCCCATGAGCGACCACTTCCCGACCCCGCGCGGCCAGCACTTCCTCGCGGCCCCGATCTTCCCCGCCACGCCGTCGTGTGTATCGAGCGATACTGAGCCGGAGCCAGAGCTCGAACATGAAGACGATGACGCCAGCTCGCAGGCGTCTTCATCCAACCCGTCTGTGCAGTGGCACAACCAGCGCCGCGGCAGCGCTAACAGCCACCGCGACAGCATCATGACAGACGTCACCGAGTTTGATGACCTGTACGACGTCTCCGACAACGACACCGAGGAAACAGACGAGGAAGAAACCTCCCGCAAACAACGCCTCCAAGCAAACGGTATCACCCGCAACCGCAGCGGCACCTCCCGCTCTCTCCGCCGCAACCCCTCCTCCACCTCTTCTTCCTCTTCCACCACAAACACCTCCCCCGCAGCCCGAGGCGCCTCCCGCGAGCTACGCAGGTCGTTAGCTCCCCTCGTAATCCCAGAAGAAGCCACAGCAGCAGCAGCAGCAGCAGCAGCAGCAAAGAAAAAGATGAACCTCCTCTCCCCCGTCCCGCCCACGCCCCCCTCCGCCGTCGCCATGAGCCCCGCGGTCAAAAATTTCATGGCGCGCCACCAGGCGCAGGCTATCCCGCGGGTGTCGGCGCCGCCGTCGTTGGATGGGAGCGCAATGTCTGAGTCGGAGGATGGGGAGGGTGATGATGAAGGGGAGATGGCGCAGATGTCGGCGCCGCCGACGCCGTTGATTGGGGCGCAGGCTGATAGCCCTGACGAGGCGGAGAATCATCAGAACGAGGAGGTGATGGAATGGGGTGGGGTGCATTTACAGCCGGGGGCGTTGGAGACGTTGCAGGCTTTGGCGGGGAATGGGGAGGATTATGAGGGTGGTGGGTTGGAAGGGGAACAGGCGCAAATTATTGAGGTGGTGATGCCGGCGATGTCGAGGGGGGTGGAGATGGCGCAGGCGAGTCCGAGGTTGCCGCGGTTGATGGGTCATTCGCATGGTCATAGTCGGGGGAGCAGTGGGAGTGGACTGGGTCTGCTGGCGCGTGGTACTTCATCGGCGTCGTCGGCCTCGAAGAAGGACAGAAACTCGCTCGCCGATTTGACCAGGCTGGAGATCCCCTCGCCGGGGGGGTTCTTCTCCGAGTTATCGTCGGCTAGTCGACGGACGTGGAACAGCCAGACTTCGTCCCTGGCCTTGGGGTCCGAGACGGCGTCGGTCTCTGCTTCGGAACCTGACTCCGATTCGGAGTCGGTCTCCAGGGGGAACAACCCCCCGACGTCGACTACCGCCGAGAACTTTTACAAAATCCCCTGGAACCGGACGACAGAAAAAGTCCCCCCGCCTCCGCCGCGTCCGCTGCATCTTGATGATTTGCCGTCGGCTATTGTTGAGCGGGTGATCGAGATGCCGTCGCGGAATGAGGCTAGCGAGGACTTGCCGACTGCTATTCGGGTTGTTGAGACGCCCGTGCCGATTACGGCGCGCCGGGTGCCGCTTACTCCGGGGCTGCCGCAGGAGTCTCAACAGCAGGAGTCCCAGCAAAACCAGGGCCAGGGCCAGGTTGATGGGGAGCAGCAACCGTTGTCGCCGGTGGATGTCAACGAGATCATTGACGAGTATCGCCGCCATGAGTTTGCGACGGCCAAGCAGCTGGAGGAGACGGCGCTGTCGCATCTGGATCGCACGCAGATGTGGTTGACGGCGCAGAGGGCGTATTTGCAGGGGGTGGTTGGGTTTTCGGAGGAGGTTTCTACCGATTCGGGGGTGGAGGAACAAGAGAAGCCGGTCGATGGTGAGGTTGAGGGTGAGGTTGAGGTTGAAGCGGAGATGGACAAGACGACGCCCGAGATCCCCGTCTCCGTCTCCGTCATGACCACTCCTGAGATCCCCGCCGAGCAGACTGCTGTGGCCACCACCAAGAAAGCCGTCCGCTTCTCCGAGGTTGTCCAAAAGCAGTCCATCCCCCGCTCGCTCCCCTCCAAACTCATCCGCCAAGAATCCGCCTACTATCGCGCCTTCACTGACTACCTGATCCGCGCCTGCGCCTCTGACGTCTTCATCCACCGCCAACCGCGCTTCGAAGCCCTCCAGGCCCAGCGCGCCTGTCTGCGCGACACCCACCGCAGTCAGCTGCTCGGCAAGTTCCAGCTGTCGGTCGTCCCGCAGTCGGCTAAGAAGCGCATGAGCACCAATGTCGTGCGCGGGGATGATGTCGTGGTTGACGACGCCCCTGAGAAACTCCGCGCGGATAGGGAAGCTGAGGCGCTGGCGCAGATGCATCTCGCGACCTGGCATGTGGCTGCGACTAAGCTCCTCAACGGGGGCAAACTCATCTCCGCCCCCGTAGCCAAGCGCCTCCTCGCTCGTCAAAGCTACACCCCCAACTCTGGCTCTAGCAGTGGCACCTCCCGGTCAGACCGCCCGCGCATCCTCGACCTCGGCGGCCAAGGCGCCTGCGACTGGGCCTGGCACGCAGCCCTGCAATACCCCAACGCCAAAGTCTACACCCTCACCACGAAAGCCATCCGCCAACTCAGCAACAGCAACATCCGCGGCCCCCCGAACCACCGCAACGTCGCCGTCTCTTCCCTCGCCCACCCTCTCCCCTTCGCCGACGCCCACTTCGATCTCGTCTCCGCCCGCGAACTGCACTCCCTGCTCAAAGTCACCGGCGAGAATGGAGTCGACGAATGGGATGCCGTGTTGAGGGAGTGTATGCGGGTGTTGAAGCCCGGCGGGTATCTGGAGTTTGGGCTGTTGGATGCGGATATTATGAATGCGGGTCCGTTGGGGAATGCGAAGGCCGTGGAGTTTGGGTTTGCGCTGCAGACGTTGGGGTATGATCCGAATCCCACGAAGGGGTTTTTGGGACGGCTGCAGGGGGCCGGGTTTGAGGGGGTTAGGAGGGCGTGGGTGTGTTTGCCTGTTGGGCCGAAACGCCCGCCGAGGACGCCGCGTACTGCCCCTATTCCCACTTCTACTCCTGCTCCTGCTACTTCCACTTCCACCTCCGCCCCCAACCGCCCCATCTCAACCGCCTCAGCATCCACAACCCCCCGCACCCACCGCCTCTCCGCCCTCGTAACAGGCTCCACAGAGCCCATCGCCCCCATCACAGGCCTCGCCGCAAGCTGGAGCTGGGAGCGCTGGCTTCTCCGCGCCGAGATGGAGCGAGCAGCCGGTCAACTCCGCCTCGGATGTCCCGGGTCGGGACTGTTGGGCGACACCTCCAACCCGAGAGCGTCAGTCATGACAAAGGGCGCCGGGAAGATGAGTGCTGATGTGCATGCTGTTGTGGAGGAGGGACGCGGGATGGGGTCCGCTTTTAGGATGTTGAGGGGGTACGCGAGGAAGCCGATTGATACCTCCTCCTCCTCCTCCTCCTCCTCCTCCTCGAAGGTGCCGGTGAAGCAGGTCCCGACGGTCAACCCGCATAACGCCCCAACGGGTTCACTCCCCGCCGTCCCTCCCCCGCGTCGGTGTATCACCCCCCAGGTCTCCTCTTCCACTGGTGGCGGGTACAAAGTCTCCGTCCCACCCCGCTCAGTCCCCCCACGATCTCAGTCAGCGCCCGTAACTGGTATGGACTCAACACCGTCAGTAACAGTAACAAGGTCAGCAGTGAGGACGACAGGGACGAGGCCGGCTCGGCCTTCGTGGACGGGTAGGGCTGTACCGACTGTACCGACTGTACCGGTTGTTAGGACTGCGATGGCAGGGATGGCAGCGACAGGGACGGCCAACACGATGGTCTCGCCGGTTAACACGATGGTTTCGCCGGTTGGGGGGGTGGACGGGTTGGATCGGAGTGGCTCGATTCGGATTTGCTTGGATACTATGTCTTTGGTGTGAGGTCTAGGCTTATGGATCTGGGTGATGGGTGATGGTGATGGGTCATGGTGATGGATAACGGATGATGGATTATGGGTGACGGATATGAGTGTGTTAGCAGTGACGGCAGTGGTGATATCTCCTTTGTCTTTCATACCCACCTAACCTACCCAAGATGGTCGACAAACGCAGTCCATATGTGGATTGCTCGACCGACCATGGGCGAAGCGCAACACGCAACTCTTCTATTCTCTTCTCTTTTGTTCTCCCAGCTTACCTTCGACTGGATAAAAGTTCTTACAAGTGAGCGGGAAACAAACTTTTTCTCTCAGTTGTTTCTTTTGTGGTCATCGTACAAGAAACAATACAAACCAAGATAAACGAAATAAAATAAAATAAAATAAATAACCCCGAATCAGATACACCACGAGCACATTTAACATGCGACGAGTACGAATAGGTGACGAGGCAATATGGAGAGCCTGCATTTTGGGCAGTACCCCTGGGAAGATGTGGAAAAAGTATTGGGTTAGGGTTATATATATGCGCATGTCACCGCGGCACAGAAAGTCTACAAGCACAGAGTATCCGAACGGTCCCAAATTGCAGGCTCTTTATAACTTGTTATTAATTGCAAAACACAACACACTGCAACACAACACGCAACATATCCCACTAGAACACGGCAAGCAGTACACAACAACACAAGAAGCAAATTGATAAATAGCTTAATAACCAAACAGCCCGCTTATGCATCTAACATGCGGCTACGAATAAACGAACAGAAACCAGGGTATATACAAAACCACAAATCACAAATCAAGAATCTCGAGAATATCAAAAGATCTGGTATACCCCTTGTAGCCAAAAGCCCCCCCGTACGAAACGTACCCCAAGGAATCAAGAACCCTATCAATCCAAGCCGCGAATCGTACTGCAGCTTCATACCCACTATCCATACTACGGCTCAGTATCCATCGCATCCCCATCCACCGCATCCGTCGCCGGCGACCCCAGCGTCACCTCCGGCTGCAGCAACGGCCGTTTCGGCTCCAGCGCGTCTAGACTCGGTGGCGTCAGGGGCTGGCCGAGTTGAACGGGCGGCTGCGACTGTTCTGTGCTTGTGCTCGTGCTGCCCGTTCGCTCAATATCCATGGCTTCGTCGGGGCGTGAAGAGGTTGTTTCCGACGCGGCGACTCCCAGTGCGGGTTTTGCTTCGGCTTCGTGCTGGGGCTGGGGCTGGGACGGAGATTCGCGGGCTGGCTCGGCTGATGTTTCGTGGAAACGAGCATCTGTCGCAGGAGGAATTGGAGTACCTCCTAGGGGATGTGACGGCGCTGGTCGTGGCTCGAATCGTTGTTCGTGTTCAATGTGCTGCTGCTGCTGCTGCTGCTGCTGATCAACCCGCATCGCATCATCATCCCTCTCGCTCCGAGACGGCCCCGGCATCGCCCGCTGTTCTGGCGCGCCAAAGCTGCTGTTGACATGATCCACCGACCCGACCCGCGGCTGCGTGGTCTGCTCCCGCGAACTCGCCCTGTCCATCTCGATATCAAGCTCCTTGCCCTTCTCCGTGCTCGCTGTCGTGGGCGTCCTTGTCGTCGTGGAATCCTTCCTCGTCACCGCGCTGTTGCTCCCACTCCCGCTCCCACCCACACTTCCACCCGCCCGCGGGGTAGAAGGGACGATGACGTTCAACACACAGTCGTCCAGATGCTCGTAGAATTCCTGTGCCGTGCCAAACTGGCTCTGGCAGATGTTGCACCGCGCAGCCATTCCTCCGACGCGGCCCGGCGGCAGAATAAGCTTCCGGCTGTTGGGCGGGGTCTGCTCGACATTGTGCACCGCCGTCAGGTGGCGCTTGAACACGTCCGCTCGGTTGAACGCCTTCTCATACGCTGTTCCCGTGCCCGGGCAGAACGGACACACCATCGTTCCCTTGTAATGCGTCAGCGCGTGTCGGTTCTTGTCGTACTTGCGCGCGAACCCCTTGGTGTGGTACTCGCAGCTCTCGATAGGGCACTTCTCCGGCCGCTCCTCCATGTGCGTCAGCATGTGCGCTGCGAGGTCCTTGAACACACGCCCACAATCCGGATGCGGGCAACGGCTGCGGGTAGACGACGAGGAAGTGGAGGTCGCGGTGGACGTGTGTTGGGCATCGTCGCTCTTTAGGGTCGGTGTCGGCGCTAGGAAAGCGTTTTGATTCTGCATCTGGCTCTGGTTCGTTTGGTGAAGCATCGGCGGCGGAGGAGGAGGAGGACCGATCGGGTTGAGCCGATCGAGTGATGGCGCTAATAGTGGGGGACCGCCGTGTGGTGGAGGTGGTCCATGAGGCGTGGGAGGACCAGATGGAGCTGGAGCTAGACGGGGAACCTCGGGCACGGGCGACCGCCGGAGTGGCGGAGGTATGAAATCATGGAACGCCTTATAGTCAGCCGCTTCGTCCTCCCCGCTGGACGCATCGTCCGGGTCCTGCACATCGATCGACTGGCGCACCTCGCGCATCCAGTCCTTGAGGATCGACATGGGCGGCCAGTCGCCGCTCGCTTTGCCGCCACGATGGGGATTGAAATGCGCCCTCCTGAGGTGCGCCGCCGCGTTGTAGTAGGCCCCGTATCGTTTCTGCGTGACGCAGGCCTTGCATTTGGCCAGCGGAATCACCGGCTGCGGCGAGCCCGGCGGCTCTGGCGGTTGCGTACAGACCCATCGCTTGACCAGCGCGGCGTGCTTGGCGTCGTTGTGCCTCCGCAGTTCGTGTTCTCCGCGGAATCCCTCAGGATACTCGTTGCATTTGGTGCAGTACACCCGCCGCAGCGGCGGTCGTTGGTACGATGATCGCATTCTTGACGTGGCAACGGGTGAAGTCGGCGCACGCCCTGGATGCCGCATAAACGTCGGGCTCTCTGGAACCGTGTGTCGCCTTCCAGGGTCCATCGTCTGGGGCGATGTGAGCATGCGGTCGGGTTCTCCCTTGAACACGTACATTTCCCTCTCCGGATGTCCGTGAGCGCCCCCCCAACTAGTGATCAGCGGCCGCATATCCGGGAGCGGCTTCCTCGAGTCCTCGCCTCCTGGTTTTGTGATGGGCGGCAGAACAAACGAGCCCGACCTTGCTGGCCCCAGTGGCTTGATAAAGCCGTTGTAGAACGCTCCGTCTAGCTCACCGCTGCCGAGGAGCAGGAGAAACCTCTTGGAGGACGGAATGCCGCTCACCGCCCACGCGTGTCGCCTGAAGAGCGCGCCGGCAGAAAGCAGCAGCTCATGATCTTCATGCCCCAGGTCTACATCCTGCCTATCAAGGAGCATGGGCGTAGACCAGGCAAAGGCGCTGACGAGTGCTTCGTACACAGCACGCATGGCCATAATCCCGTCATGCTGGAGCGAGCCAGCGCGTAGGTTGGTGGCCCTGTCCACGAGGATCGTCCTCACCATGCTGAAAATGCAGAGTGCGCAAAAGGCTGCGAGCCAGCGTTTCGGCTCGAGCGGCCCCGGGCGCGCAATCTGCTCGTCCAAGGCGTGCAGGAACTCGGTCATGCAGCCGCAGAGCACGTGGAAACGCCCATACGAATCGGCATCGTCGAATATAATGTGCGACGTCGAGCTGTTTGCCTCCGCGTGAATGGTCGGGTCGGGCTGCTGTAGGTCGTAGAAGAGCGTTTCTCGAAGTAACAACTTGGCGCGGTACAGTATGGGATCTTCTACGTCTCGGTTGGGTGCGAGCGCGCCCGTCAACTTCAGCAATGACCAGAAGCTGTACGTGGTCTGGCTCATATTCCAACTCGCGGCGAGCACACCAAGAAGTGGCGGCGCTCGCTCCATCGCGTCCTTGTGAAAGGAGGCCCGGGCCGGGTGGGGCGGCGGTAGCTGGGAGAGGTCTTCGGTCCACCAAAACCCGTCGTCAAAATCTAAGTGGCCCTTGACCATCATGGCAATATCGAGCGGTATCGCAAACACTCGCTCCAAAGCGTCGTTCATGTTGCGGCGGACGGCGAGGGGGGATGTCATGGGCGTCTGCACATGCCTTGGGCCCAGGAACGCTACGTCTTGTTTAGCACTAACACATAACACCGGGCTTAACAACATAGACATACCGGGAATCATGACTTCAGTAAAAGCCGTTAGTGGGCCGCGTTGGCAGCCCAAAACCTTCCAGAAATCCGTCCCTGGTGAGGTCGCGGCATCCGGACAGGATCGGCACGGGTCGTTGGAATCGCACTAAAGAAGAAAGGAAAAGTTCTGTTAGCCTAGCCTGCCATGAAATGGGAATCCCCCGGGGCTGACCTACTTGTAGTTGTAATACCCTGCAACGCAAGCAGGGCCCGATATCGCGATGGAGACGGAGCTCCTCGATGGATTCGAGACGCGGTTGTCCCATGCGGCTTCGCTTCAGGGGTGGTAGTAATGGGTCGACCTCGGAGTCCATAGAGCTACGCGGTGCGGTTGTGGGATGCTCGGGCACAAAGGAGTAGCCTCGTAATGATTCACGATTGTCTTTCCCCTGGCTGCTACCCGTTGCCAAAGGGGCGAGTTGGAAGCCCCCGGCGGGGCGAGGAAGGTGGTAGAGCGGCGAATTGGTCTGTTTACTGTACTCGGGCCCGTGATGTCGGTTTGGATGTTCGCTAAACGATAGAGGCGGCGTGCTCGCTCCAACAGAGAGACCCGAGTCTCTCTTTCGCGGGACAACATGTTCCCGGGAGTGTTGATCGCGGTCGTCGCGGTGGGGATAGCCATAGATGTAGTGCATACACCGGTCGTCCCAGCACTTGAACGAATGGCTGTTGCGGAAATCTAGAGGCATGCTGTCCTTCAGCCGTAACGCCCTCGCAACGGGGTCGTACTGGGCAAAGTTCCGTTCCAGCCAGGCCGCATAGCCTTGGGGGGCTAAGTCCCGGTAGTAGTGGGACTTAAGTGTCTCCAAGAACCCGGGGTCCTGGAGGTCGATACCTGAAGGGAGACGTATAAGACTCTGGCATCTCACAGTAACACCGAGGGCGGGGAGCGGGGATGAACCTACCTTGATCTAGACAGGCCGTTTCAATGCATTCGCACTGATACTGTAGTGCTCTCGCCTCCTCGATCTCGGACAGGGGGGTAATGCTGCCGGATAACTCTACTCGACGACGAGGGTTAGATCTGAAGAGGGAGGGGGAGAAAGAGGGAGAGAAAGACAGAGCGAGAGAGATGGGGGAGAGTAAGAAGACACTGGACAAATGCTCGACACAAACTGGATGACGGATATGGAAGAAGCAAGGGCGGCTCACGATGGTCGTCGGCGTATGCCCGCAGCACACGGAACTTGTGCCGGAGCATGTCAAGCTCGAGCTTGACATTAGGGCCATACTTCTGCGGAAGCAGAGCAGCCAGCCTGGCCTGAATCTCGGCTTGCTGGTCCAGCAGTTGCTTGATGGCAGGATCCAGAGACGGATCATACTGTTGCTGGTGCGAAGAAGAGCGTGTGACGGGGTGTGCTCCGAGGCCGACGGGTGCGGCAAGAACGGACGGAGAGTGCGTGACGGAAGGGTCCCGCTCTGGCCGTGATGATGGAGCGGGCATGGACAATGGTGGCGGTAGAGCCCGCGGCGCAAGATTCTCGGCGGCCATGGCGCTAGTCGTCCGCGGGAATGTTGAGAAGCGGGACGGTGGAGGTGCGGCGCGGACGCGCGGAGGTCCACGAACGAACGGGGGCGAACAGGGGCAAGACGGCGGACGTGGCACGGCACGGCACTGCGACAAACTGGAGATTCCGGGGGTTCGGCCGCAGCCTCAAGCCGCCTCAAGCTCAAGCTCAAGCTCAAGCAAGCACAAGCACAAGCTCCAACTCAGCCCTGTCCTAGGGTTAGGTCAAGCTCAAGCCACCCTTCACTCTCACTTGCTCAAGCTTGTCCGTGTGATGAAGAAAAAGAGCCGAATCAAGCCAGAGGGGCAAGAATGGAAAAGCTGGAAAAGCCCCGGTGTCCCGAGATTTCAGCGTTGAGCAGGTGGGCTGTGTTGCTTGCTGCTAGCTCCGCGCGCGCGGTCTTCCGTACTCGCTGTATCCGTACTGTGTACGAAATAACACGCTCGGCACTCTCTGCGCTTCCTGTGCTCGCTGGCGACGACAGCACGCTCGCGACGGACACGGGCAGCAGCACGGCGATGGACTCGCCCGCCAACCAAATTCCGAGGGGAAGCGTGTTCGTCTCGCATCAATCAAAGCGTCGTGGTCGTCCTGCGGCCCGTAGGCACAACATGGTAGGGAGCAGCGCAGTCCGGGAAGTGGTGGGGGTCCAGCAGCGCCGGAATGCATCACAAGGCCACAAGTGCGCGGCTGCGCGGGGCGGAAGGGGGACCTCGGGGAACCGAAAACAGACAAAATCAACAGCGGGAAACGGCCTCTGGGGGGCTGCGCGCCGGGAGCTAGTGTTGGAGCTGTCCGACGGCCATGGAGGTTGCGGCCAGCGATAGGTGAGCGACGGCGTGGGCGTGCGTGTGTGCGTGTGTGCTGTGCGCGCGTTGTCCTGCTTAGATTTTTTTTGGGGCCGTGGATGGATGGGACGGACTGCGTTGCTCACTTTTTGGGGAATTGTTTCAAAGGGTCGATTGGAGAGAGTGGGGCGTAGCCCGGCCTGGGGCAAGACAAGAGCTGCGAGCCCGCGAACCAGACCAAACCGGCGCTGGACACACCTTCCCTTCCAGCCCCGTGGACCCCATGAACCCCATGAACCCCCCGGGAGGCCAAGCTTTCCGCAACTCAAGGTTGCGAGTCACCAAGCTCCGTATCGCCGTTTCGGCCACCGCCTTTGTTCCTTCCCTCGGGTTTACACTTACAAAGTAACGCCATTTCCCGACCAACCGGCCGACCTAGGCCCTCCACCCTAGGTCGTGCCTGCCCTTTCTTTTTCCGATCTCGAAGCTATCTCTCTCGTTCACCTCTCCAGCTTTCCCCGCCTGCGGGCCGAGGTGAGGTGAGTGAGCAACCTCGCAGCAGGAGGCGTACAGAACCGGAAACAGCAAGTCGCTAAACCCCGCTCTCGCACGTTTGTTTCTCTTCTGTGTTTCCAGCTGCTCTTTCCCCCACTGTCCTCTGCCCACTCTTTCACTGCAACCACAGAAAAACCGCGCGAATCAACGGAACTCGTTGCTGTGAGGACCCTCCTTTTTGGCTGGAAACTCAACTGGCAGCCCCGACGCCCCATAATTCCGAGCTAGGATGGATCTCGGCGCCTTTCCGAGATGGGCCTAGTTCGTCGCGCTAAAGAGGCAGGGTCTCGAAGACCGTTGGAAGGTGGAACGTGAGCTGGGCCAGCTGCCGCAACACGCAACGGAGAAGCTCCCGCCTTGCTTGCTCTCCTCACTCCTATCGCTCCTCAGCCGTTCGGCCCGTGCGAACCTTTTCCTTCCTCTCGCGTCTTTTGCCAATCCCGCGCTTCCGCTTTTTTCCTCCCGTCCCTAACGTTATCGGTTGCGCAAATAGAACGCAATCTCCAAACCGCGTCGAATACATATTCCGCCCAACCGTTACATCTTTTTACGACGGAGCTCACTCACTGCAACCCATGCACCAACCTGGCATCATCTCTGCCATGATCGCGTCGACGGGCTTCTGGGGCTCGGTCCGACCGAGAGTACCAGCTGTTGTCACCATATCCGGATGAATGCAACGTTCATTTCACAACACCTCACGGATCCCAGCTGTGCTCCTGAACTGCATTTTTGATGAGCACCCACGTTCCCACCCACTCACCACTCACCCACTCTCATCCACCCCTCATCGACAAGCTCCAACCCATCGGGGCAAATTCGAATCGCTCGATGCAATGCCCGCCACCAGAAACTGACGCTATCTCTACCGACAGCCGATGCGACGCTACTGCACCGCTTTTCCCCAAAATGTTGCTGTTGCCCCATTCTTCGTCCTCTTCAAGGCGTGCGACCGACTAGCCGCCAGCTGACTCGCTTCTGCCCCGATATTGCTGCGGGGGCATTTTGATGCAATAGGACAAGAAAAGAGATCAACAACAGAAAGATAAAGGGAAACCAAAAAACTCGGGGACATCGTTGCTCGCAAGTAGCTTTCCAGGCACCATACACAACACTTACTCCCAGCCGAGCCCAGACAGCGGGGGGAGGGGGTAGTTAACCGTTGCGCGTTTCTTCCTACGATCCCGCATGGCTCGCTTGTGTGCGGCAGGATCGCCCTTTTTCTCTTTGGGCCTCGTTCCCCCCCGGACGCTGAACCGTGGGCGCTCTTGCGGGCTCCACGCTGCTTCAACGGCGTGACATCGGACGGGGCCCGTGATTGGGGCCAGGGAAAAGCCCTCCCGCTTGCCCACCCCGGCCATTGTGTCACCGCATCAGCCTGGCGTTTGCAGCTCTCGCAGCTCGGTGTCGCCTGCATGCCTCCAACCGCTGGCAAGGGTATACAGCATGGGCCGCTCGAGCCAGCCCACCTCATGCCCACATGGGAGCAAGCCCTCCGACACGGTACAGAGGATGCTGTGAGCAAACTCGACCCCCGTTGGTGTTGCGCCAAATCGGAACCCGCCGGCCCCTCCGAGAGAGGCCCGGACAGCTCTTACTACCACACCCGCAGGCCGGTCTGCTTGTGGGCGAAACTTTGTTTTGTCGGCTCAGGTACCGATAGGGCCGTCTGAAGTCCCGTTTCCCGAAGGAAGAAAAAAAAAAAAAAAAAAAAAAGGGATCGCTTTCACACACGCACACGACACAACGAAGAGAGATAGGCGACAACAAATCGGAATGAGCCAGAAGGCCAAAAATTTCAATCCTCGACAGCACATTGGACAAGTAGAGTTTTTTACACAGCCGCAGTGAGGGAGGTGTTGACCCACTTTACCAGTCTCTGCCCGCAGCATCATCCACGGCCGATTGACTAATAGCGCAGGAACGGAAGCTTATGTCCACGTGTGTACACTAGGGGGCTCAAGGAGCTTAGGGAAATCAGTCACGGCATCCTCGAGCCATCCCGCCAAATCCAGACTTCGCACATAGTACACTACTACCTCACGACAGTGTTTGTCTCACAAAACCGCCCTGGGCAGAAACGAGGACCGTAGTAGGTGGAAGGGGAATTTCTGTCTTTGGTGAGCTTGTTTCGCCAGCTCACCATTCACCGCTTGCCTTGCGTACCCCTCATGGCACGCACCCCGCCGAGATTGTTGGCCACTAAAGACAAGCAATATACGTGACGAGAGGCCTGCAGCTGGTGTGACCGATGTTCCTGTCTTCCAAATTGGCGGTCATGACGGGTTCTCATCGATGGATAGGAAGCCGTTCTTCGGAGCCATGACTGTGCAGAATCGCTCCGATCTCCCACTTAGGAGGGCGGTTGAGCCAAGACCACACCTGAGGCCAAAAAGTACCGCACGACACTCTGCCCAACGCCTGTCGTCGCCGAATGATCGTTCCTCTCGACCCACCACCACGGGACCTGAGCCGACTCCTTATCGGTCAGAGGCGTTCAGGTTCTCTCAGTTAAGAGCCGCCGCAGTCGAGCTAGCGAGGGGCTGGTAGACTTTGCCAAGCAAAGCGCCGAGGTGCAAACACAAACCGGCCTTTTGCTCGGTATGAAACCGACAAGCTTGGGCGCCTCTGCTCCCCTCAACTGGCTTGGCAGGCGTCCACGCTTGCGGCTAAGCTTGGCAAACTTGGTTCGCCTTGTCGTCAGCTCCAGTCAGCTTTCGCCCTGCCCCCGTTGTTTTTACTAACAGTCTCGAGGCCTGCACACGAGCTCGAGAGCCTTTTGTCCCGATTCTTGTTTCTCCGGACGCCAATACAGTTGACCGCCAGTCAAGAATAAATTGTGGTAAGGCTTGGCTTCTGTGACCCCCCCTCACATCACAATCCTTGGCCTTTTCGCCCCCCCTTGCCATCCATGCCCGACCCAAGCTCCAAGTCGCCGGTTCGGTCTCTCAGGTCTAGTGGCGTCCAAGAATGGCGATGGCGCATGGTGGGATCATGGCGACAGAGAGGGTTTGTGAAGCTAGTTTCCCACCAAGCTACCCCTCCAAAGACCCCGGCAGACCTGGCAGACAGGCGCCGGAACCACCGAACTCATCTTGCGCGGCATTTTACACTCTGGGGAGGGATTGTCAAATGGATCAATATATAACTAGACTACTGCTCTGGTCTTGAGTGAGACCTTTTTTGTGTCAGTCGCCTTGTCTTCACCTGCAGCCAATCCACACCGAGTCCCCAGACCCCAACATTTCAGGATGATGTGTCTCAGCAACCCCTTCCCCTTGTACCCCTTCACTCAAGGTATGCTGGTGGGCCTTTTTGCCGGCTCTCTTACAGTTATATGCCTTGTTTTACTCTTCCGTGGCCATCGAGCACAGCCAGGTGTGTAACTTGTTCCAGAGCCTTGCCTGCTTTTGCTATCCCTACTTTTTCCACATGTCCTTCGGCAGTCCCGACCCGTCCCTGAATCCCTTCCTTTCTTCACCCACCGCTCATTTCCTTCGTTGCTTGCCCTTGTCGTCGCCCAGCTGCCTTTATTACACATGTACTACCCCAAACCCAGCCCTATTAACAATAACCCCAGCAACCCACCATGGCAAACGTCCCTTCCAGCCTACGGCCCCTCCGTCCGACTCGTCCACGGAGAAGTCACCGTCTAGCTCCGGCAAACCCGAGATTCTCTCCCAAGCTTCTTTCTCCCCCACGGCAGCGGAACCCACTCCGGTTTTAGTCCCCCATTCATCGGGTCTAGACGCCTTGCCTGTTTCCCAGGGGGGCACATCGACTCCGTCAGCCACCGCCACCACGGCTTCCGTACCCGCCATGACCGTTGGGGGCGGACCGCCCGGGCCATCCACGTCTCTCGCCATCCATCACAACAAAACTACAGCTCCGCCTTTCCAACCCCCTACTAAGCCCTTGGTCAACTCTGCTATCCCGTCTCCTATTCCCACATCTGTTTCTCCTTTTACTATAACTTTATCCCCGCACTTGTCGTCGTCGTCTTTGCCACCTGCTTCACTATCCGACTCTCATACCCACCACTCTCAACTACACTCCCACCCGCATTCTCACTCACACGCCCACTCAAACTCTCACGCCCACGCCCACCCCTACTCACACTCTCACCCCCCCTCCAACCCCTATTCACACCCCTACCGATACGTCCACTGCCCTTCCCCGCTACCAGCCCTACCCTGGCACATACCTTTCGTCAACAATAACAACAACAACACCCCCAACAACAATATTTCCCTCGCCCAAGACAGGCGTGAGTCCCAGTTATCAGTCCCTGAGTCCATGCGGGCCAGGAAGGGGTCGGCTGAGGAGTATGGAGGTGGGAATAGGGATGTTGAGAATGTTGAGGAGGGTGATGGGAACGCTGGTTTTGGTGTTGGTGTTGCTGGCGGCGGTGGTGTTGTCGAGCGCCATGGAAGTGGCGGTACTGGTACTGGTACATGTACTTGTGTGGTGGGAAAACGGACGGGGTCGTACCACGAGTTGTCGCTTTTTGGGGTTGGGGGGCAGTTTTAGGGGCAGTTTTCTTGCCGGGAACCGGGAAGTGGGAAGTGGGTGTTTTATGCCTTATGCGTTACGCTCCCTCAAGAGTTATGTTATCTCATTAGTTATGATCTCCCACTAGTTACGTTTCGCTGCTGGGAGGGGGGTGAGGAAGGTTGTGGGCGTTTTACGTCTCGCTATTTACGTTCGGCTTTGAGGAGTTTGGGAGGGAGATGAGGAGGTTAGGGGCGTCTGGGGAATGATGGTTTACGTTTTACGTTTGCTAGGGGCGGTTGGAAGGGGGAGCATGGGTTGGGATGTGCTTGATCGGGGAGTAAGGGGTTGGGGTGGGTGTGGAAAGGTTGGCGCTTCGTGCTGTATTTGGTGGGTCAATATGTCTGTCACTTCCGGGAGAGTTAATGAGTTATGATAAATTTATATTAGGTAGCTTAAAGTGTGCATGTAATTTTGTGTAAATTACTTTCTCACCTCTTCTACATGTTTATAAGCTCAAGTGTGAAACTTTGTGCTTTTTAAACTTTCCCATCTACTGCAACACCATGGCACTGCGTCCCTAGAGCACCTGTGAAGCGAGTTGAGCCTTTGAACACTAGCCCGGTTACTCGCCTTGCAGTCCCTTCCAAACCACTACTATCTACGTGTTTTCTTGTCCCTTTACTCTGTTAGAGTAAGGGCGTCCGTGAGATGTTTGGGTGGGTAATGCCGTGGTTCACTGTTTAGAAGGAAGTATAACCACGTTGGGGACCCATCCTCAAATACACGGTCGTGGAGGTCGATACGGGATACCTAAAAGAGCCGGGTCCAAGCTTGAATCGGCTCCTCTTGTTGAAGATATTTAGACCCGAGACGTTGAGGCGTCTTTGCACCATAGCAACATCTCCCACCCATGTTGACCACTCAAGTTTCTCCCTTCCCCGCGCTCGTGACCTCGGTCCCCCATGTCTCGGACTTCTACAGAGAAATGCAAGAGAACAAGTTCCTTTTTTAAGACATACAGACACGCCTGAGACAACCTTCGTCATGGGCAGCGCGTTTCGGGCCGGGATTAACCGCGGACATATTCAATCTGCAGTCTTGTCGTGTGACAGGAAACAGAGGGTTCACTATGATGGAAAGGAAGCATTGCAAGAGAGCATTGTGGTCTGAGTCGGAAAGTCGGGTTCCCCAACCTGGAAAGTCCATCTCGGCGTAGTTCCTTGACGCTGAGGGACTACAGTAGGTGTGATCGCGTGTGGTGAAAATCTTTCCTGGCGGCGACCGTTGCAGACTGCATGACCTCTCCCTGCACTTGTGCCGCCGTCAAGCATTTCCCACAAGCAGCAGGAAGAGCCGCCTCAACCTTGATCTGACCGAGATTGTTGGCTCCTACCTAGATCTCAGATCTACTCTGCATTCTGCATCTGCATCGGAGCGCATGTCGTTGTATGTAGCCGGTTAAACCATAGGAAAGCGTCACAGCGGAGCGCTCAGAATTCCCTCAAACGTACGGCTAGATGATCTAGCAACTAGCAATGAGCAATCGTGGGACACGGGGAGAGGGAGTCCTTAGATGCGGCGCTGGCTGCAAATATGATGTTTTTGAATGAAGAGAAAAGAAGGGCTTTTTTGCGGCTCACCAAAAAATTTCCGAGTTTGAGGGCAGAAAGACAGTGCGCATGGTACGTGCGTGGCTGTTTGCGCACTGTACGTGCACTACATTAACTTCTCTAACTATTGTGGGCCATGTTCCCCCACACATCACAAATGCCTGACTGAGAGTTTTGGACGGCGGCAGCCCAACGAGATCGTCCGGGTCAGTGACTTGGCGATGCGTTCAATGCACCGGCACTCCAGAGCCGGCCCGCGGAGACGATCACCCGATAATACTCCCGGCAAGCCTCGGGATGGCCACACGACAAGCTTCCTTTTCATCTACATAGTATATCGTGGGGGGCCTGCAAAAGAAAACCTCGCGAATGAGAACTACACTTACCCCACGAGCCGATGATTCTGTTAAACCAGTTTCATCATCACAAACGCACATCATAAAGTGGCACGGGAGGGCAGATGATGGCTTGAGGTCAGCTCCCATCCAGAAGGTTGCCCACATGTCTCAGTCACGGTGTTGAAGAAAGCACCCTGACGGCCGCGGTGTAGCCAACACGTGGGAACGATGCTCGAAGCATATTGGCTCTCGCAGCTTTCTCGCCGCTCCCCATGCAGCGGCTCACACACATACAAACTTTCACCCCCCCTCGCCGCCTTCACGCTCGCATCCCATCCCGGCGCAGAGCGAGTCAGCAGCTGCGATCGGACGAAAAGGGATGGGGAATGCGATCAGCTAGGCGCCTCATCCGCGGGAAAGGGCAAGAGGGGGCATGACTTGATGACTTGAGTGGCTCTCGAGTGTTGAATCGCCCCCGCGAACTCATCAAAATGGTGGGTGCCCAGCGATCCTCCCGCATGTCTACCTGGAAATAGACCGAAGGTACCAGGCTGTGGGGGAAGGTGTCTTGGAAAGGCCGACTTCACCTTTTATTTGGACGTGTTCCCCCCCCCGAGCTCAGGAGGTTATTCTGATCGATGTGAAAAAGCGGCGTGTGGTCCTTTTTTCTACTCTCGCCTGGGAACGAGCATCCCGTCTGTTGCAGCGTCATCCTGACGGGCCCAACTCGTCCGATCATTCCCCTGTTGGCCACCGTCCAAATATCCGAGAACCCCCAAGGCAACAAAATCCTGGGTCCATCCACGGCAGCCCAACTGGTCACCGAACGCCAAACGCCAAAGCTGACGGACGGCTTCCTCCATTCTTTGGCCAAACAAAATCTCAGGCCATTCAGACCGACAGGCGCCAGTACACCAACTATGTAAAAACAGAACCGACAACCAAACACGACCCGCGCGCGATTCCTCTTTTTTTTGGTTGAATTTTATCTTACCATCCCCACAGTCGCATGATGCCCCTGGGAAGGCTGTTGGTCGCAGCGCTGCTGTGCCATGGCGTCATAGCTGAGCAGCCCAGGCCTCAAAGCCGCGAGGCCGTCGCTGTGCGTTCTGCCCCGCGCAAGCTGCACGGTCGGTTCCTGCATATCAGTGGTAGGTTGTTCCAATCTTTCGCTATCGATCGCGCGACCTTATCTCTGTCGCATCCGTTGTTGAATCACAGCGGAACGCTGCAATCCGGTCTACTATGTAAATTGGCAAGGGGCTGACCGTGAAAACAATCGCGGTAGACATCCACCCCGACGAGTTCTACAAAGTCCACTCCTCAACCGACGAAAATGGCGGGTGCCATCGCGGAAAAGGCCCCGCGGGGCCGTACGGCGCCGAGACGACCGACTGCGACAGCCCCTTTTCCCTCGTGAACGCGACATTCGACTGGATCGACGCGAACCTCAAAGACAACATCGATTTTGTCGTCTGGACCGGCGACAGCGCCCGGCACGACCGCGACGAGGGCCTCCCGCGCGACGTCGACCAGGTACTGGGCACCAACAGCTGGATCGCCGACAAGTTCGTGGACATGTTCGCGCACAAGACCGGCGGCAAGAAAACCATGACCGTGCCCGTGATCCCGACATTCGGCAACAACGACATCCTGCCGCACAATATCCTGCTGCCTGGCCCGAACAAGTGGTTCCAGCACTACCTGCACATCTGGCGGCATTTTATCCCTGAGGAGCAGCGACACAGTTTCAGCTACGGCGGGTGGTTCTTCGTCGAGGCCATCCCGAACCAGCTGGCTGTGTTCAGCCTCAACACGCTGTACTTTTTCGACCGCAACGCGGGCGTCGACGGCTGCGAGGATGCGTCAGAGCCCGGGTTCAAGCAGATGGAGTGGTTGAAAGTGCAGCTGCTGTTCCTGCGCGAACGCGGCATGAAGGCGATCTTGACGGGCCATGTGCCGCCGGCGCGCACGGAGAGCAAGATGCTGTGGGACGAGACGTGCTTTCAAAAGTACACGGCGTGGATGAACCAGTTTTGGGATGTTGTGATTGTGGGTCTGTACGGGCACATGAACATTGATCATTTCCTGATCCATGGCGAGGACGAGATTGATCTGGAGTCGCCCTCGGCCGATGGTGGGGTTCGTGTGGCCATGGACGACGAACTGTCGGTGCAGTCTGCGTCGGATTACCTGACGGAACTGCGCTCCATCTGGGCGACGTTGACGCCGCCACCGGCTTCGCCGGAGAAGCAGGTCGGCAAGAAGGGGAGGGATCGGAAGGGCAAGCATAGCAAGGATCCGTGGAGCGAGCGGTACTATCTGTCGTTGGTCAGCCCTAGCGTTGTGCCGAATTATTTCCCCACGCTGCGGGTTTTCGAGTACAATATCACCGGGCTCGAAAATACCGTCCTGTGGCAGGACGCTCAACAGACGGAGACGGACCAGGATACTGGCGATGGGACCCAGAAACATCTTGAACTCCGTGACCTCCCAGACGCGAACTCTGTCGACATCAATGACTTCGACATGATCGAAACAGATGACAACAACGACGACACCCTCGAATCAAACAAAAAAGACAAAACCAAGAAAAAGAAAAAGAAGCACGGCAAAAAACCCAAAAAGCCCCCCGCCAAAGACCTCCCACCACCCCCATCCAAATCCGACCCGCCCGGCCCAGCCTACTCCCCCCAACCGCTCACCCTCACAGGCTACACACAATATTTCGCCAACCTCACTCACATCAACAACCTCACCCTCGTTCCCGACACCCCGGAGGCGGCATCCTTCTGGTCATTCTCTTCCTCCTCCTCCTCTCCCCAGCATAACGCTAACGCCGACGCTGACGAGGACGAGGACGAGCTATCATGGACCAACTGGATCCTGTACCCCCTCGGCCGCTGGCGCAAAGGCAAACACGGCAACAAAAAGCCGGCCCATCCCAAACCGCCGCCGCCGCGTAAATTCGAGTATCAGGTTGAGTACAGCACGTTTGAGGATAAGATTTATCGGTTGGGGGATTTGACGCTGAATAGTTATGTGGAGCTGGCGTGGCGGATGGGGGGGAAGGTGGGGAAGAAGGGGGTGGGGGTTGATGGGTATGGGTATCGGGATGAGGAGGGGTATGAGGATGGGGATGATGTGGGGGGGGGTAGTGGGGAAGATGAGGAGGATGACTGGGAGGAGGAGGGGGTGGATGCTGATAAGAAGAAGAAGAAGGGAAAGAAAGGGAAGAAGGGCAAGAAGGATAAGAAAAAGCAGAAGAAGAAGCAGGATAAGATGTGGTTGCATTTTTTGAGGCACGCGTTTGTGAATACGCTGGAGGAGGATGAGTTGGAGGATTTTTTGTAAAGGGGGTGATGGACGATGGGCGATCACGATAAATGACGGGGTATGGCAATGGTGGCGGTTGTCTGGATTTTACTCTGCATTGCGTGGGATTGGGCGGGCGATGGAAGACTGGAATTGGCGGGATACTTTGAGAGCATTTCATGGCGTTTTGGGGGCCTGCCTGCCTTGGGGGTTGGTTTTTTATTGGTTTTGTTTTGGATACCTTGAATGAATTGAGCGCTGTCGCGTCTGTTTAGCACTGTGTGCATGGATTGGTGATGCATTTGTTGTGAAGGACTAGCCCTCTTACATGTGGGAGTGTGCCAAGTTAGACTGTGTGGAACTTGGCTAGTGCTGACAACTACAGATGGGACGGGCTGGGTTGGTGAATTTTGTAAGAATTGTTAAGGACAAGACAAATTGATCGCGCCTTCCGTGATATCAAGAGGTTAATATCATGTGGTCGAAGTTGAGAGGGGAGGAGCGACCGAGCGGCCGGTGTAAGTCGCGCCACAGTGAAGGTAGCAGTCAAGCCACAATCCCCACACTCTACTGCATGATCGACAAGCTGCCGCCACACTTCCTGCATGCTTACCCCTGTCAGGTCCTTCTTGGCCCCTCAAAGCTGCATCCCAGTTCCTTTTCATTTCCCTTGGCTTCTTCCATTTATTCGTACTTTGGAACCACCGCAACGGACTGTGGCTTCGTGCTTTTGTCAGTGTTTTGTCCTCGCCGTTGCTGCTTCTACAACACCGGATCACCATCTCTCATGTCGACACCACCACGGGCCTAAACAATCGCCCGCCCCCCCTTCCCAAACCCACGCGCCAACCAGGAATGTTCTCCTCCCTCAACCTCTTCCGCCTCCCCTACCGCCGTCGTCTCCGCCGCCGTCGCATGGCAACCCTCCTCCTCCCCCTCATCCTCCTCATCCTCCTCCTCATCCTCCCCCTCTACATCATCTACAAACCCCCCTCCCCCTTACTCCGCTACCTCTCCCACCGCTGGACCGACGTGCTCTTCCGCCTCTGGCTGCCCCCGACCAAGCCCCTCATCGCCCTCACCATCGACGACGCCCCCTCCGACCACACCCCCGCCATCCTAGCCGCCCTCGCCGCCGGCGGCGCCCGCGCGACTTTCTTTGTCATTGGTGCCCAGGCCGAGGGCCGCGAGGCCGTGCTGCGCGAGATTGTGCGGCAGGGTCATGAGCTGGCGAATCATGGGATGCATGACGAGCCGGCGAGGGGGTTGGGGAGTGAGGAATTGGAGGCGCAGATTAAGCGTACGCAGGAGGTGATTGATGCGGCGTATGTGGCGGAGGGGAGGACGCCGCCGCCGGTGGGGAGGGGACGGTATTATCGGCCGGGGTCGGGGTTTTTTAGTGAGAGGATTCGCGGGATGGCGAGGAAGTTGGGGTATCGGGTGGTGTTGGGGAGTATTTATCCGCATGATGCGCAGGTGGCGTGGTGGAGGGTGAATGCGAGGCATGTGTTGAGTATGTTGCATCCCGGGGGGATTATTATTTGTCATGATAGGAGGTCGTGGACGGAGCCGATGCTGAGGAGGGTGTTGCCGGAGATGAGGAGGAGGGGGTATCAGGCGGTTACGTTAACGGAGTTGTTGAAGGAGGTTACGGGGTGAGGGGCCGGTGGACGGTGTATTACAGGATTACGACAGCCTGCCTGGACACGACGACATTCGAGCCGACACCAATGTCCAAATGGCCGGCTGAGCTCCGTCCGAACGACAGTGATGGTAGCGGTTTACTAAGACAAGACACCACTCTTCAGCGGGTTAGTTGAACGGTATAGTTATAAGTGTCGTCAGACTCTATATCTATCGTTGAGCGAGGGCGAACTATTTCAACGCCACATTCATCACCACATCGCCAACTCAGTCATTACAGCATAAATCGTCCAGTCATTATCCAACAGTCATCTAGATACGGCAAGAGGTTGACCCGAAAAGTCCGACGCTTCTCCATACCGAGCAGAGAAATATCTGGTGTATTCCGCAATCGAAGCCATGGTTTGCGTCGGATCGACGAGCAGGCGCGTGCGGACAGCATCGACGAGCCGGTGCGGGCCGGGGAGAAACAGAGTAAGCCGGTCTGCTGTCGGAAGGCTGCCGAATATGGCTTCGAGGGATTCCAGCGAAAACGAAGCACGGGAGAGCAGGCGGGAGATGCACGTTTGACCTGTTTCGTCGGGCTGGGCGAAGCAGAAGCTCCTGGTGACGAGATACCGGGTGATGTGGGCCATGTCTTGTGGCCTGAGTGAAGACGGGTCCAAGACGTGGAAGAAGGTTTCGCCGCAGTGGTTGACGGCGCTGGGGTTCGACGACACGGCCATGATCCGCGACAAGACAGGCGCCGGCGCTGCCCATCGCGCAGCAACGTGGAGGGCCGTGTTGCCGAGCGCATCACAGCCGCTGGCCTCTGCTGCGGTGCAGGTGAACGACTCTGCGGGGCTGCCGTGCATCAGGATGGCGTTGATGCGTTTGTGAATGCACCACGTCGTTTTGCTGCAGCAAAAGCGGACGAGTTCCTGGTTTTCCTGCGTGTGGGAGTTGTCTTCCCAGTCCTGCGGGAGATTGTAGTAGGATCGGTAGTCGCTAAACAAGTCCCTCGTTGCGTGACTCGTCCAAACCGTTGACGACAGCGGCGCATGCTCGGCAGTTACCGGCCAGCTGAAACTCCCCGTCGCCGACTCGCCCCCGACAGATGGCCTTCCGCCCCAGTCCCCGCGTATCTCGACTACCGAACCGGTGCGCTCCTCCCCCCCGAACGAAATTGACCCTCCACAGCGGCTCGACGACACACTCACCGACGACTGCGACAGACTGGACCGGATAGACAGGCCGCTCAACAGGCTTGCCACGTCCGCCAAGAACGATGATGACCGGCTCCGACATCGTTCTCGAAGGTTCCCGATCTGTTCGTATCGGATGTCGTCTGATGGCCCGCCCCAGGGGTTTCTGAAGATGGCGGGCGACGGCCCTGGTTCTTGCCCCCCGCCTGTTGAGATTTCGCCCTCGCTGTCGTCTAGCGATCCTGCCCTGGGGTTTCCGGCTGTTTCCTCCAGTGGAGACTCACGCTTCGGCATGTTATCGAATGTTCGACGGGGTCGCAGGTCTAGGGGCGAACATGGCGAGTCTCCATCATCAAGTTCACCGCCGGTTGAGTCTTCGTCTTCGCCTTCTCTTCCCCCTGGCCGTGGACTCCTAGATACACCCGCTGTGGGGTTAGGCCGGAGGAGGATGGCGCAGGTCTTGATGACTGCTCGTCGTGGAACTGTGTCGGGGTCGGCGTTGGCCGTTGTTATGTCAGTGCAGGGCAGGGCTCTCAGCTTCGGGATCGGGGCTGAGATTGGTTGCTGCTGCTGTCTCTTCACGGTGCCATCACGAATCGATCGGAGATATGCGAGACGCTCGTCCATGGCCACTCGGTTCTTGGGCCGCTTTTGACGGTATGATTTGGACAGCATATCGTTGAGGAGGCATTGCGTATGCCGCGGTCTGTCGGGTTAGCCACTACCTCAAACCAGGCATGTCCAAAGAATGTATCGAGGAGTGTGGGGCCGGTGATGTCGACAACCTACTTTGGCCGAAACCCCTCCTCAGAAAGTATCGTCAAGATCTTCTTCAACGACAATTCCGCCTCCGGCGTGCACAAGTACAGTCTCAGCAGCCGTCTCTTCCGGGAGAGTGTCCAGTCGATCGCGGGTCGGCCGCGTCGTCGGAGAGTGGTGGCGTTGGTGCTGGTGCTGGTGCTGGTGCTGGTGCTGGTGCTGGTGCTGGTGCTGCTGGTACCGCCGCTGACGGGCCCGATACTGTCGATGTTGCTCCGGACGAGGCTGGTGATCATACCGCTGCTGCCGCTGTTGTTCAGGCTACCACCGGTGATGCTGCGTCTGAAGGCTTTGCTGTTGGGGGTTGTGGGGTGGGGTTGTTTGGCCACTCGGCCGCCTTTGACGCGGCACATTATCATGGTGGTAGTGATGGGGGGGAGTGGAGGTTGTGGAAGCGGTGATGAGACAGGAGTCCTCGTGGGACGGTCCAAGTAAATAAAACCACTTATATGTATCCATCACACCAGTCCAACAATGCCAAGCAAGGAACGGACGGCAGTTAGATATCATAACGGTTCCCTCGATTCGTCGATCGGGCCAGAGTAAAATATAAAACTACAAAAAACATAACCAAAAATAAAAATAAGGCGTCAAAGCTTGATTAAGCCTCCGCCACGTTGTTGTGTTTGTTTTGTGTAAGGGCGGGTGAATACTACTAACCAGGTATGTATGGAGGCTGCATATGTCCTTGCCCTGTATGAAGGGCGGAAGTGTGTATGTTTCGTTTCAAGCCGTTTTTGTTTCCTCCTCCCGTTCTCAGTCCCCCAGTCCAGTCCCCGGTTCGGAGCCGCTCGGTATGTCCCGTTCCCGTTTGTTCGCTCGTTCGTTTCGTTGGGTCCCTGGGATCTTTGTTTCTATGTGGTTGATCGAGGCTTATCCTTCGACGCAGTGAAATGTGGAGGTGCATGCACAGCACACATAGCAGTGGACTGCTTCCCTTTCTTTTCTTGTCCCGGGGAATAATGTATGTGTTTCGGATCATTCAGTCGCCACTCATCACAGCCACCTCCTCTCTTTTTGTGTGGGGGAGACGGGGAATGGGAAGAGAAAGACAGGTGGGTATGTGGGCGGGCCGAGCTGGACTGGCTTGGGGTGGGTGGACTGGGGGGACTGGGTGGACTGGGCGAGCTCAACTGAGATACCTCCCCTGGAACATACATGCCTTTCTACGTACTGCATGAGTAGGCGTGGGAGTTGGATAGTCTATGCAGATACCAACATTAGCCAGCCTGAGTCTCCAGCATATCCTCCCCATCCCTCTCGATGAAAACCGTTTCTTAAATAGGGGGTGCAAACATCAAAATAGGGCTGACACGGGATCATCCAGAATAACGCTCCCATAGCAAGCAGCAGCAGCAGCAGCATAGCAACAGCTTTACCCTACACACCTGAACCCTACCTACCCTACCTTCCTCTTCCGTCACATCCCTAGCTGCCTCTCAATGAGGCAATGAGATGAATGAGTCAATGAATGAACGATTGAACACCACGGCACCGACGGTCCTAAAGCGTGAACGAAGACCACAGCAGAACCAAGAACCAAAATCCAAAAAAAGCCCAACCCTCCCCCCTATCCCCTTGCCATCATGAAACATCCCAATGGGACTCGACAAGCCTCGAACAAAAGAAGAGAAAAAGAAAAGCTTGGCATACCCGCAGCGGCAAACCCGACCGCCGAACAAAAAAAAGAGATTTATTCTTAACCCTGAAGCATGGACATCATGCACGTTTGCTCTTTGTTATGTATGTACTTCCTGCTTGCTTGCCTTTCCCCTTTCCCTTTTGAGCGAACTAGGGGTAAATGTACATACATACATAACTCGTGCCTGTAAGTTGGGTTGCTTGGTTGGTTGGTTGTTGGGGGCTGCGCCCACCCACTCTCCCACTCTCCCACTTCACAAGCAATTACTGGACGGTAGTCAGTCAGTCAGTCCCTTGGTTTGTTCCCGGTTGGGGGTTGTTTCTAAATAGAGCGGGAAGAATGTATAGCGAATAATGGGGATGTAGGTGAGTTTGAAAGCCACGTGCGTCAGAGTGTTTTCTAGCAAAGAAACAAGCTAAAAAATGAGATCTCATTCGTGGGTTCAGCACTTATCCTCCACAGGGAGGGACGACAACCAGCTTCTCGAAGCTGTCGAGTTGCACAGCATTGTTTCAAGTTCATGTCATTTCATACTATAAACACTCGATACTAGCGATCTACTAATACACGTATAACGGAGAAACCCGACTGAACCCGGCTGCTTGCTGTCGGGACATCCGTGTTGTCAAAGAGGGGTCCAGATCGGGTGGGGTCAAGAAACCCACCACGCCATGTCCTGCCGGAGACGCCCTGTGAATGACGAATCGATGGAGCCCCGCGCCGGGATGTACTGTCCCGAGGTCGGTCCGGCCCCTATGTTTACTGATTAGTAGGAAATATTTTCTTCTTTTCGCAGCTTTTGTCGTCAACTTCATTTGTGCCCGTCTGGACTTTAAACTTGATCATCTGTGACGTGAAGAACACCTACAACCATGGTCTCGCCCGAGAAGAAAGCCGAGGGCGCCACGGCGAACCAGCTCACCGAGGCCTTTGGGAGAGAGCTCTCGTTGGCCTCGCGCTCCGTCCATGCTGATGACTATACTAACTCGCATACGGCCGTGGCTCCCCCAATGCACGTATCGACCACATTCCGCTACTCGGAGAACCCCGACGAGTTAGTAGCATGGTCAGATGTTGATGTGAGTCTAGGTAGCTTGTGAGTGTGTCTTACCAAACATGATACTAACTCAATACCGGTAGCCCCAAGATATAGATGACTTCTTTATCTACTCCCGTGAGAAGTCGCCCAACACGGTCCGCTTTGAGGCCATTCTCAGCTCGCTTCTCGGCGGCCCAGTCGTGTCCTACGCCTCTGGGCTTGCCGCCTTCCACGCCATGGTCGTCTTCCTGAACCCCAAGCGGGTAGCCATCGGTGGCGGTTACCATGGATGCCATGGCATCCTCAAGCTGTTGAACAAGCTCAACGGCCTCGAACAGCTTGAGCTTGAGAACGACGAGGACTTGGCCAAGCTGCAGCCGGGTGACATCATCCACGTCGAAACACCACTGAACCCCACGGGCGAAGCTCGCGATCTGGCGTACTACCGCAAGAAGGCCGACGAACTGGGCTGCTACCTAACCGTCGACGCGACGTTTGCGCCGCCGCCGCTACAGGATCCATTCCGCTATGGCGTCGACATCATCATGCACAGCGGAACCAAGTACTTTGGCGGGCACAGCGATATGCTAAGCGGTGTCCTGGCCATCCGCCCAGACCGGGCGCCCGGCAAGGACGGATGGCTGTTTGGCCTGCGCGAAGAACGGCTCGTCATCGGTGGCGTCTTGGGAAGCTTTGAGGGCTGGCTCGGGGTGCGCAGCCTGCGAACGCTAGAACTGCGCGTGCGGCGGCAGAGCGAGAACACGAAGCACCTGGTCGAATGGCTGGCATCTCAAAAGAAGGCCGGCAACAATCCCGTGTCGGACCTCGTCTACAAGATCCAGCACTCCTCCCTCCAACCCGAGGCGGCCGATCCCGACTCGTGGCTGAGCAAGCAGATGCCCAACGGCCACGGGCCGGTTTTCTCGCTGTGGCTGCAGTCGGAGCAACACGCCAAGCGGCTGCCGAGCAAACTGTTGCTCTTCCACCACGCGACCAGTCTCGGCGGGGTGGAGAGTTTGGTGGAATGGCGGGCTATGAGCGACTCGGCGGTCGACAGGAGGCTGGTCCGGGTTAGTGTGGGTGTCGAGGGCTGGGAGGACTTGCGGGATGATCTGCTGCGGGGGCTGGAGGCGTTGAGCAAGGAGGTGCCTGTTGCTAAATAAAGCTACGCAGGGAGGACGATCGGGGCGGCCCGAGATATGTAGCTGAGATGGTATGATGAAAAGGCGTTTACGGAATAGTAAATACAACGTGGCTCAAGACATAGACCATGCAATGAAATACTTGGCTAGTAGCTTTGGACCACCCGATGATATGCTTTGACCAGCGTTTGTGGCATTTGCCATTCCTGACGATCATGTTTACACTGCAGGGTAGCGGCGCTTGATGTCGATTTGGCGGGTGTTTGTTGTTTCAGACTCAACATCTTCATACCTTGCGCCCAGTCTTGCAGAAGGCCCTGAGATAAGATTGGAGGGGTAGTAAAAAAGGAAACCGCCACCATTCCATCGTTCACTGTCCCGTCTGGGCAGCAGCAGGATAGAGGGCAGCTTTTTTTCATTGGCTGAGATAGGCGACGTGCAGGGCAACTGGTCATGAGGCGATGAACAAATATGGAAGAGGGCCACATGGTTAATGTGCGGGGTAATTGGCTCAAGGGAGCAAGGTGGTCTAGAACAGTTCCCATGTCACGGCGGAAAGGGACCTGGTGCAGACCTTTGACATTGCATCAACACAGCTAGAAATATCATCACACCAATGAGTATGATTGTTATTTTAGACTGGAAGAAGGGCTTCGCCAGCATCGTGAGAGCTCGTGCCGGCATGCCCTCGACCCCTTAATGGATAAACTTGTACGACGGGTTTTATACCAACTTTCACAGCTTCGTTCGGGGACAACAGCCTTGAGTTCGGCAATGTCATTGTGTGGAGGAAGCCGCTGTCTATGACCCAGGCAGCCCGCGATACGGCTGGGGATGAGCCCTCTCAAGACCTGATGAGTTCTCTAAGAGTGTATGACCATTTCTCGTTCGTCCGTCGTCGGTCCGATGTCTTTAGAACTTCTAAGTACTCACAATAGTCTACGGTAGACTCTACTCTAGCGGGGAGGAGTTAGGATGACGCGCGCGACGTGAGAGGTCAAGACTCGGCCCGTATACAACTTTACTCCACCAGCAGAGGTCCTCGTGCATCACGGAGCCGGCCTTATACCCCCAGGCTGAGAGCCCCCCCCCCGACAAGCTTCCGGCGCTAACTAATCGAACCGATGGCGCTAAGAACGGAACCCCATCTCCGCGGGGCCCCGGATTTTGGCCGAGTTGGGTTAGGGTTACCGGGCCGAACCACCCACACCTCAGCCGCGCATTCAGGCCATCCCCCAAACCAACAACACCGCGAGTGACTTGGTGGCGCGGGAAAAGTAGATCACCAAGCCGACCGATAAGCCCGAGTTGCGCAAGCGGCCTCTCTTGCAGTTGTCAAGGCACCCCAACTTTATCACGGATGTAAATCTATAAATAATCCGAGGGTCGAAATGTGTGCGGGGACGAGTACGTATCTGTCTGTGTCCTTGGTCTTTGGCAAAGACGACGCCCAGGTTGCCGATGCTACCTGCCCTACTTCTACATACTTCTACAAGACCTATGCAGCCCCATCAATGGGCCGGCCTCGGCGGGGTGGCACTACCTTTAGCGCGACCGAGGGAAACGCCGAATAGGAGACGCACGACCCGTAGTCGATGGCATCGGTCGCGCATCCGGGGCGGTTTGCTCGAGGTGAGATTCCTCGGTTCAATGCTACCCACTCCCCCTTACACGAGGCGCCTTGGAACCCCAGGTACTTAATGCTCGACTCATCGCGAGCAAAGAACAATGTTGTCTCTTCCCCACGCTCCGCCTACTCACCCTCGAATTGCCCCAGCACTTGACATCCCATCGCCATTGTCGAACCGCATCCCGGATTCCAGAACGCGACAATGAAGTTGACGTACGGAGCGACGGTCTTTTCGGCCGCCGCGCTGGTCCATGGACACGGGTACTTGACCATCCCGTCCAGCCGAACACGTCTTGGCTCAGAGGTGAGAGCACGGGCTCGGTCTTTGGGCTGCGTGAAGCGAGAGACTGACTCTGACCCAAATAGGCCGGCCTTGATTCCTGCCCGGAGTGCACCATTCTTGAGCCGGTGTCGGCGTGGCCCGATCTGAACGTGGCGCCGGTTGGCCGGAGCGGCGTTTGCGGCTACAACGCCCGCGTGAGCATTGACTATAACCAGCCGAGTGCCAGCTGGGGCAACTCGGTGGTTGCGACCTACTCCCCTGGCCAGGTCGTCGATGTGCAATGGTGTGTCGACCACAACGGCGACCACGGTGGCATGTTCACGTACCGAATTTGCCAGAACCAGACTCTGGTCGACAAGTTCACGACGCCGGGCTACCTTCCCACCGACGCAGAAAAGCAAGCCGCCGAGGACTGTTTCGAGGCTGGGACGCTCCCGTGCACCGACGTGTCGGGGCAGAGCTGTGGATACAATCCAGACTGCCAGCAGGGTCAGGCGTGCTGGCGGAATGACTGGTTCACGTGCAACGCCTTCCAGGCGGACAGCAGGCGCGCTTGCGAGGGCGTTGACAACGCCCCCCTGGGATCCTGCTTCACGACCATCGCGGGCGGATACACGGTAACCAAGAAGATCAAGATCCCCAACTACTTGTCGTCTCACACGCTGCTGTCGTTCAAGTGGAACTCGTTCCAGACCGGCCAGATCTACCTCTCGTGCGCCGACATTGCCATCACCGGCGGATCCACTACCCCGAGCAGCGCGACCACCTTGGCAACGAGCACGCGCGCGTCGACCTCGACCTCGACCGCGTCGAGCGCCACCGCCTCTTGTGTCGCCGCCAGCTCCGTGGCAGTGACCTTCAACGAAAAGGTGGCTACGGTCTTTGGCGACACCATCAAGGTTGTCGGCTCGATTCCCGCGCTCGGCAACTGGAGCCCGTCGTCCGCCATTGCTCTGTCCTCCTCCCAGTACACGAGCTCCAACCCGCTCTGGAGCACCGCCATCACCCTGCCCGCCGGCACGACCTTCCAGTACAAATTCATCAAGGTCTCAAGCGGCGGTGCTGTCACGTGGGAGAGCGATCCCAACCGCTCGTACACGGTCCCGAGCACCTGCGGCACAACCGCGTTGAGCGAGACATCTTGGAGATAATTAGGTTCGACAGGAGAAGGGCCTGTCTGTCTTTGAACAGGATAAGATTCCACCGGGCGCTTGCTTGTACATAGGTTGCCGTGGTTGTATGTACGGCTTTCTCGCGGAGAGTTGAGGAGGGGAGTGCGGTAGGAGACTGTCTTGTTCGAGTCTTGATGGAGCTTGCGAGGAGGATAAGAACTGGGAAGTGGCGCGTGGGAAAGCCATTGTCTGGAGGAGGATGGCTGGCATCGAGTGGTGATTTTGTTCTATTTGAGCACTCGTTAAGGCTAAACGTGTATAGAGTTTAGTATAGGTCTACCTTATTTAAACGGCGCTAAATCCTCCTCGTGTTCGTAAGTGACAGCGATATTAGGGCTGAGCAGGGGTTCCTGTTTGAGCACAGACTTCCCAAAACGGAAGGCGTGATCGTGTAAGTCGCCTGGCCCTGATCTTCTTTGATCTCTTCATTTGCCCTCATGCTGGCGCAGGAATGATAGTTGAATTCACCCACCTAAATACGTTGATTGAAGGCTAGAGTCTTGGGCTTCGTTTTGCCTAGCGACAAGCCCCTCATTCGATTTTTGCCCTCTGTTTGAATGATAACAAGTGTATCCTCATTATTTCTTCTTCGTTACCATTAGTCGTGTAATGCGCGTATTCTTGACTTTCTAAAGAAACAAAGTCTGAAATCTTCCCTCGCCATCTTGCCCTGTAACCACCCTGGGTAACAAATACCCCTAATTGTGTCCCATACCCATACCATTACTCCAGCCAAACCCGAGAGGGAGAGGCACACACTTTATCCCCCAAACAAATACCGTTCCCCGCCCCCAATTCCCAGAGATCCCCAGGTTTCCAAAAATAACCCCCACGCCATGCAACAAAGAATCATCATCACACCCCCTTCTTCCCACGCCCATTAGTGTACTCACACCTCCACCCCCTGCGCTTGAATCTCAGGAATCCTCTCCGACCGATCCGGTAGCGCACCCAACTCAGCACCCTGCGCACTCGGCCCCTTCTTCCGCCCACCCAACCCAGGCAAGAACCGCGACATAGCCGTCCCACTCTCCTCCACCGGCCCCGAGGCGGCGGCAGCATTCCCACTCCCACTCCCACTACCATGAGCATCATTATTATCCGAACCAAACTTGGAAAAGAACCCCAGCCCCCTCTTCTTCAACGCACCATGTTTCCCCCTCCCACCTTCCTCACCACCACCCTCCTCATCCTGCTCGTTCAACCCAACGTCTTCGAAGCGTCCGTCGTCGCTCATGCTCTCTTCTGGGGTCGGCGGGCCCCATCGGCGCTGCTGGTCGCTGAGGGATGAGCGGGGGTAGTACCGCGTGCTGTTGTTGAAGGATCGTAGGCTGGAGTCAAGGGATTGGCGGGTGGGGTTGGTGCGGGAATCGTAGGTGCTGGCGGTTATGACGACGGGGCTCTTGGCGCTGATGTCCTGTGTCACGCGAGGTTGGTTAGTCAACACGGTCCCTTGGGGGCGGGGGGACAGAGGTTGGGGGGGGCATACAAAAGACCGCCGGTATGAGTCGAACGACTCGCGGGAAATGGGAAAGTGCTCAATGTCGCCGGTGGTGCGGCCCGGCGTGAGGCTGGCGCTGCGCTCGGTGGAGGTGCTTGATAGGTAGCGCCGGGGCCAGGAGGCTTCTCGTTCAATTGGGGAGGGCTGGTGATTCCCATTAGTTAATCTGATTTCTACCGGGAGAGGGGCGGTGAGGAATGTGGTGAAATTGTGGATAACTCACCGGCAGGTATACTCCGCTGTCATTGACGACTATGTCCAAGCAACACAAAAGAAAGTCAGCCACCCCGCTCAATCCCAACTCCGAAGCCGACCGGGATCAACCGGCAATTATACCCAGGAAAATACACATACCGCTCATCTTATACTCCCCCGTGTCCTGGCTCCTCCTGCTGCCACTGCGAATACTGAATGCCGACGACGATGCCCGGGATCCCACGGTATCTACCCTCTCAAAGCCGGGGTGCGCGGCGTCAGGGGTCGTCGGCGTGAGAGCCGGGGACAAGCCGGGCCCGGAGGTCTCATCTTGTCCGGCGGCAAGAGCGGGGCCGACACGCCGAGCGAAGGGGTTACAAATTGGCATTGTGGATTTTAGTTTAGACAGTGTTGTCGTTGGGGTTGTCAGTCAATTGGTAGTGGTGGTGCATTAACTGCAGATGAGGGTGTGGCTAGTGCAGGAAGTTGAATTGGGTATGTATGAGTGAGAAAAGATGGGAGAGTTGTGGGATGAGAGAAAGGGAAAGTTGGGATGCAGGTGGGATGAGTAACTAACGGGACGGAATGGGCGGAACCGAAAGATGGATCGAAAAAAGGTACGGATACAGCAGCAGAATCTTAAGGCGAAAATCCGAAAGACCGAACCGCCAATCGCCCCCGTGAAGATCCAAGTTTTGCATGCAAAGCCACCAAGCCTCGATCCCTCGAGCCGAACAATACCACCTCGCTTCTTCTTCCAACGGCTAGTTAGCCCAGATCTTGCCAACTCCGGGCCAGCCACCACAGATTCTCCCCATCATGGGTGAATGCCCGTGATCTCGTCAGCAGGACAGCCCAGCCAGCCCGGGCACAGCGGGCTGGAGAAAATGGCAAGTTCAGTCCCAGCGGCACCAGCACCGACCGCTCCGCGCTGTTCCCGCCAATGACAACTCGCTGGGCTTCTGATGTCCACCAGGTTTCCCCATTCGCAGGGCCTACCCCTGGCCGGCTTGAGCCCGGCAATTCGGGCTTTGGCAGGATTTCACAGTGGAGTGATCGGCCCCGGAAGTGCAGGTTGCGACGAACCCCTCTGGCCCGTTGCCCGACCCCACCACCCGTCCAGTGCCGTCCCAGGAACACCACGATTTTGTCCCTCCATGCCGAGAAGTTAATTCCAAAGGGCTTGAGAGTAATGATGTTTAAGACGGTATTCCCCCCCCCCCTCCTTCGGGAATCACTCCTTTTTTACTCTACGAGACCAAGCCGTTCCCAGAAACCGAAAGTTGAGCTGGGTCGTTCGAGTTAACCCCTCACGTCGTGCCCCATGTGCCTCTTGTGCCCCTCCACATCAGACAGACCAAGTGAGGCAGTGCCTGAGTGCCACGTTCTGGCACAGGATTGAATCTTTGACTTGTGCAAAAAGCAGCTTTCTAAAAAGAGTGGGTCTTTTGAGGCGTCATGGTATGTACGTATGTACCTCACGTTGATTGTTTCTGTTTCTCTTGAACCGCGGCTCAAATCAACCCTGATCCGGCATCTCCCAGGGATTTAAGTCTGCTCTCTGATTTTCCTTATGAGACGGACCCGGTCAAACGCCTGTTGTCCTACCCGCAAGCACCCTCACTCCCCCTCCACCCCCGGATTCCCCCCCTCCAAAAACTTAAAAAACGTCACTCTATTCCCATCCCCATCCCTAATCCCAAACTGTCGATACCCCCACTCCTTATCCCCCAATTCCTCCACAATCTCAGCCTCCCCACCCGCCTTCAACACCCGATAGAACTCATCCAACTCTTCCGTGCCCAACGCCACCCACGCCGATGATGGATTGACAGTGCTGGAGAAGTAGATATTGGCGGCTGCTTTGTCGCCCGCGAAGAGCGAGCAGAAGGTCGCCTGCTGCTCGCCGGACTGGTCGTCGGTATGGATGCCGCCGATTGTGAAGCCGAGGATGGTGGTGTAGAAGTGGACTGTGGCTTGGATGTTGGAGGAGTGGAAATGGGGGATGATTTTCCAGGCGGATTGGATGTGGTTATTGTCGGCTGGTGGCATTGTGGTGGGGTTTCTGGGTCTTTACTGATCAATTGCAGTGCGGCAGGATCTATGTAGCAAGAGACGAAAACAACCTCAGTGCTGTAAGCCGTGATCTTCGAAGTTTGAACTTTGAACACCCCGTAAAACCCCTACCAGCTCGAGATCTCTGTATTAGTCATCAATTGCAGTTGTAGTGGAAGTACACTCCGGAATCCGAGATTCCGCTGCTCCGCCCCCTTTGCGGATTGGCTCGATTGGCTCGATTGGCTCGATTTCGAGATTTGTTCTCTCGCACGTCGAGCACGTCTGGAGGGGAAACTGGGCGTGTTGATCAGAGGGGCAAGTTTGCCACTTGTACATACATGCACCTTGCGAGCACCGTTCCTCAATACACTACTGTGATGTGGAACTTGTGAAAGGGTGCGGCATTCCCGAGGAGACAGCAGTTCAGATCGGGCCCAATCTTGCGCGTGATCGGCGGTCGTTTGGGAGAGACCTACCATACACTACACTACACTAGTGTACACTAGCTACACGTACAGTGCAGTGACGAAGAGATTGAGTCCGAGGCTTCAGCTTGTCAAGGCCGATGGTACGGTGATTACAGTACAGACATGTAACCCACTGTGAGTGCGAGCCTACACGGAGGATAGAGTAGCGGAGGTTCCATCTGGCTGTCTGGCGGTGCGTTTACACGTGTTTTCCCAAACGTAGCGGATAGTTAATTCTAATACGTCTGTCTGTTCCGAGATTTCTTCTCCCATTACATGGTACCCAAAATGAATCATGCTCCTCTATCACTAGGCTAGCTTCCCGCTTCCCGTGAAATTAAACCCAAAAAAACAACCGGACCAACTGACTCTATGCTAACGCAGCCAGAAAAAAAGAAAGAGAGAAAAAAACAGAAAACGCTCAACTTAACTCTAGCTTCACCACTCCGTATCAGGTATTGATCATATATCCCACTCCACGAACTCTTTACTCCCATACCCCGGATCCACCCACCCCTTAAACTCATCCACAAACCGCACCGCTCCCGCCAGATACCGATTATTCTCGTCCCCCCACGTAGTCGCCGCCCCCCTCAGCATCCACACAGCTATTCTCACTGTTAGCTTTCCCCTTCTAATATGTAACAAAGTGCTCGTTCAAGATGGGGAGAGAGGGAGGGAGAGAAAAGGAGAGAGGAAAAGAAAAGAAGAAAGAAAAAAGAAAGACTCACTCTTAATATAATGCGCATCCCCCCTCCACTCCGAAGCCATCGCCTTCTTCTCCGCATACTCCCACCCTTTCCCCTCCAAGTACTCCGGCTCAGACGGAATCCAATCATCATTAATCTTCGGCCGTAGCATGCCGATATACACCGCCAGCGCGAGCAGCCACCACTGACGAAGCAGCAGCACGTGGTAGCGCGCGGGGATGTGCGGCAACAAGATGCGCACCGCGTGGCTGGTGGTGAGGATGTGCACGAGGAAAAGGTTGTAGGCGGCTGTTCCCGGGGCCGCGCTGGCGATGACGACGGAGAAGGCGGCGGATTGGGCGGCGCGGAAGTGGGCGGTTATGTCGTTTCCTCCTCCTGATGCTGCTCCTTGTGGGGGGGTGAGGTCCCAGGCATTCCAGTAGTCTAATAGTAAATCTTCGTGGTGGTCGAAGAGGGCTTTGACGTTGCGCCAGCCGGGGGTGCCGAAGAGGCCGTCGAAACGGGTGTCGTGGGAGAGTTTTTGGAAGAGGTCTCGTGGCGAGGAGGAGGAGAAGGGGGATGGGCGGGTGTAGGAGGGGTCGTCGGTGTAACGGTGGAGGAAGTTGTGCTGAATGGCCGCTTGGGTGATGGCTTCTACGGCGATGGTGCGGCTGTCGAACTCGTAGGCGTAGGCGAGGTGGATGAGGGGGTGGCCAACTGGTGTTTGTTAGTGGTCACGATTCGGTGTATCTAGTGAGTTGTACTCAGTGAGGGGAGAAGAAGTAAAGAAGTACGTACGCCCCCCCACGAGACAGCTGACCAGCGGCCGCTCCGGGTGAAACAGAAACTCCGGCACCATCTTCCGCCAATCGTACGCGTGCTTCAGCGCCAGCTCGTCCTCGAAGAAATCGATAAACGCCCGCTGATAGTGCTTGTCCCCCACGCAGTCCACCCAGTTGTCCTCAGCGATCTGCCCCGGCGAGTCGGGCCATGGCAGGAGCAGCTTGGCTTCCTCGTTGTAGACGTAGTGCAGCTGTTCCGGTCCGGCGCCGAGCTGGTAGGCCGTGCAGAGGGCGTAGACCATGTGGTTGTCGAACTGCAGATTTCGGTAGAGGAGCGCGTGGTTGACGTGGTTGGCCCTGAGCAGGTGCTTGAGCGTGCGCGCCCGCTTGTCGGGGTTGGTTTCGACGTTGAAGACCTCGACCGGCGTGAGCTTGACGGCTGGTGGCTCGCTGGGTGCGGCCAGGAGCCGGTTGACCAGCGGGAGGTATGAAAGGATGGAAGCCATGTTCGTGTCTTTTTTTTTCTTTTTTCTTTTTTTCTCTTCCTCCCTTTACCGCTCTCCCAATGTCCTCAGAGATGAATCGTTATGCTCACTGCTAAGGTGCTTAGTATGCCAATTCAAAATTTTAATAAGTGTCTTCTCACGACCGGTGCGGAGAAGTTGAGGTGGTGAGTGTGTTTAAAAGAGACCGAGGCTCATTCATGAAATGGGCTGATCAGCAACTAATAACCCTAACGGGCATCTCATACATTTGTTGAGAGCTGAGTTTCAAGGGTTGGATTGATGCGTTGGGTGCAGGTGGTTGGGCACTCCAGCAGCTGAGCAGCAACCCACGCAAGCCACAGCGCTGAAGATCCAACCCATTCCGGACCCCTGTCGCGCTAACCAGCTGAGACACCCCACCTAACCCCAACGTCATAGCACCTCCCACGCTACCCAACAAGCCCGAAAGCTCCGAGGGAATTCACCTCCAAGCTCCCGTCCCGAATCTCCCGTTGACACCATCTGAAACCGAGACACACTTCGCCGATTCAGCTCCAATTCGAACAACCGCAGCCATGGCCCCAAAAGCGATCATCGCCCCGTCGATCCTCTCAGCCGACTTCGCCGACCTCGGCGCGGAATGCTCCCGGACCATCGCCCAGGGCGCTGACTGGCTCCACGTCGACATCATGTATGTACAATACCTCGTCTCACACATACACAACACACCGGTCCCCAATCCCCTCTCACAATCACACTGACCTAACTAACCATGCACACACCCCAGGGACGCCCACTTCGTCCCCAACCTCACCTTCGGCCCGCCGGTCGTGGCCAAGATCCGGCCCCACGTCGATCGCCCGACCGAGTCCTTCGCGAAGGGGACCTTCGACTGCCACATGATGATTGCCGAGCCCAAGAAGTGGGTGAAGGAATTCAAGGCGGCGGGGTGTGACTTGTACTGTTTCCACTACGAGGCGGCGATCGACTCGACGGCTGCTGAGTCGCCTGAGGCGCCCAGGACGGAACAGAAGACTTCGCCGCGGGAGTTGATTAGGTATATTCATGAGCAGGGGATGTTGGCGGGGATTGCTATTAAGCCGGCGACCAAGGCGGAGGTGTTGTTTGAGGTGTTGGATAGTGGGGATGTGAAGGAGAGGCCGGATGTAGGTTTCCCTACCCGATGGAAAGATGGAAGATGAAAATAAGGACCGGAAAAAAGGTGCTAATGGGATATGATATAGATGGTCCTCGTAATGACGGTCGAGCCCGGGTTCGGCGGGCAAAAGTTCATGGCCTCCGAGCTGCCCAAGGTGCAGGCTCTGCGCGCGCGGTACCCGGACCTGAACATCGAGGTCGACGGCGGACTGGGGCCCGGGACGATCGACCAGGCTGCAGATGCCGGGGCCAACGTGATTGTGGCCGGCAGCGCGGTGTTTGGCGCCAAGGACCCGGCGGGGGTGATTTCCCTGCTGCGGGAGGCGGTGGATAAGAGGGGGAAGTTATAGATGGACTGGAATATACATGAATGGTACGTATGCGAACATAGCGTGTACATAGGTCTAAAAGTGATCACCAACATGAGGCCGTATATATGTAGAAGCCAGCTCATAGTATACCCCTGGTCAATATCAACTCACTTCCGCTCATCCAACACCTTCTCCAACAGCCCAATCAACGTCTTCACCTCCTCCACTATCAAACACATTAGCACGGCCCACACACTCTCAATACGACGAAAAGAAAACTCACCAGTATTATAATGCACCATACTAACCCTCACCACCCCGTCCTCCCCCAGCCCAAGCACCTCCTTCGCCAACCTCTCCGAATAAAACGACCCCCACCGAATCCCAACTCTCCCACCACACTCCTCCTCCACCCTCTCCACCACCTCCTTCGCACTCCACCCTTCCACCGTAAAACTCACCGTCGGCACCCTCTTCTTCCCAATCTCCTCCTCACTCTCCCCATCCTCCTCCCCGCGCTCCCCATATATCGTGATCCCCCCTTTCCCCTTCCCTTCCCTCCCCCTCAACCACCCCAACAACACCCCCACCAACACTCCCTCCTGCCTCTCAATCCCCTCCCACTTCCCCCTCAAATACCCCACCACCGCTGGCAACCCACTCACCAACTCATACCCAGCCCCCGCCAGCCCCAACTTATCCTCCAACGTCCTCCCCTCCTTAAAAAAATGCCCCAACGACCTAATCTCCCCCATCGCCCGCGGCGAAGCGTATAACTGTGCCAGGTGTGGACCAAAGACTTTGTACCACGAGAAAGCGTACAGATCGACCCCACCGAGAGAGGGGATGTGTACGGGCCGGTGCGGGGCGTAGGCTACTGCGTCGACGCAGACGAGGGTGGACGGGTTGAGGGCGTGGATGGTGGTTGCGATGGTGGGGATGTCGTGGATGGTGCCGAGGATGTTGCTGGCGTGGGTGAGGGCTACGAGGCGGGTTTTGGGGGTTATGAGGGAGGGGAGGTCGGAAGCTAGGAGGGTGGGGTTGGTTTTGGAGGGATTTAAAGGGTTGGGGGGCGCGTCGGGGTCGGGACGCCACCATTTGATGATGACGTTTTGGCGGACGGCGAGGTCGACCCAGGGTCCGATGTTGGCTTCGTGGTCGAGGGCGGAGAGGACCAGTTCGTCGTGTTCGGAGAAGCGGAGGGCGTGGGAGACGTTGCGGAAGAGTTGGCTTGTTGAGGGGCCGAGGACTAGTTGTGTAAGTTGTGGGTGCTGGGGAAGGACAACTTGGAGGGACAGCTCAGGGGTAATGGGGGGATACGCACCGATTTCGCTGGGTGACACTCCAATGTACTCGGCCGCGGCGGCGTAGCCTTCGTTGTACCGGGCGGTGGACTCCTTGCCGGTGGTATAGCTGGCTCCAAGCTGGACGTTGGTGTTGAGGAGGTAGTCTCGGATCCTGGGTGTGTTAGTCCGCGGTTGCTTCTTTCTTCTCCTTTTTTCTTCCTTTTTTGGCATGTTGAGGATCATCAAGGAACAGATGAACTTACCAATCCGCTACAGCCCCCAATGCCTGACTGCCGCCCGCATTATCAAAATACACACGATCTCCGGCCAATGCGGGGAAAGCCGCCCTCACTTCGTCCAGGTCTAGCGTGGTCATCGTGGATGTGAAGCTGTGAAACCGTGAAGCAAGGATATCGTAATGATCGGTTTTATACGTCCTGAAGGTATTCCTAAAATAAGACACCACTGAATGAATTGGACGTTACAAAATAGACGAAACTCAGTTTCATCCGAAATGGTGTCAATGAGATGAATTGGGAACATGAAAAGGGGCCTAGGAAACACGCCGAGTGGCCGAAGCGACCCGGCGAGCACGGGGCAAGGCCCCACTCCCGGAGAGATGCGGGTCAACCCGGCTTTACGGATATCGCACTGGAAGTGGGCGAGATCAGGCTCACTCATCCGGCCCGCGTGGGGGCTAACTTTACTTTTTTTTTTTTTTTTTGGCTCCGTT